ACATATGGGTATGCGTTGATGCTTTTTTCACAAAGTTCTTTCAAATGTCAACTCTGCTTTACAAACCAGCAAATTTATGCCCTAGATCAGAGGATCCTCGACTTGTTTGCAGTTTTCTTGGATGGTCTACGTCATGAGAACGGTCAGTTGGCTGGCACTGGCATGGCAATCACTGGCAATCACTGACATGGCCACCGGGCGAAGGGCAACCATCGTTGATGCCATGGGCATTGTTCAAAAGGTCCATGGGGAGCAACTGACATTTGACGAACTGTCTGATCGAATACTGAAACAGATCCTTACTGACGGACGAGGAAGTGAGAGAATCGATGTAGTATTTGATATGTACAGGGACCAGTCGATAAAGACTGCAGAAAGGATCAATCGCGGGTCTACTCAAGGGATTGTCTTCAGTCAAATCAAGCCTGGCCATCGTATCAAGAACTATAAACGTCTGTTAGCCGGCACCGAGAGCAAGACTAAGCTGACAAAGTTTCTGGCGGATAGCTGGAAAGACGAAAAGAAAAGAGAGCTTCTTGGTAACACTACGTTAATGGTAACATCCGAAGGACTATGCTTTCAGATTACACAGGATAAAGTGACAGAGGTGGAAGAATTGGCTACAACTGGACATGAAGAAGCCGATACACGACTTGTTGTCCATGCCAAGCATGCCGCAGCAAACTATCCTACAGTGATTGTGATTTCAGAGGATACGGACTTGGACTGAGTCTCATAAGTAGTCCCATTCGTGACCAACTCGTGTTATTCCGGGACAAGCCGAATAGCGACTCGTGCCCCTATCATGGCCATTTTTGCGACCGGGTTCCGTCTTTGCGCAAACGGGCATACCTAAAACAATTGTCAACTTGTTGCGAAATGGTTCACATTTATTTCCCCATATATTATATATATTTCAGATGCAGTTTAAAGCACATCGGGACATGCGGAATTATACAGTATGTTTGAACACATTTAATTGTGTCTTGGGTATATTTTTAGATGCAAGACATATGTATAATCAAAAATTATTTCTGAGGGATTCTTTGACGAAGAACTTGAAATCATACGCGCATTCTGATTGGTTTGTCGTATTTTCGCACATAACATTCATCGATAGGGGGACGAGTCTTCTTGCAGGTTACGGAAAGGGGCGAGTGGTGACGAATGAAGTAGTCCATGAGCCAGACCTCAAAATTTCAGGTTTGAGTATCAAAAAGCTGAACAGATCCGATGTGGATTTTCAGTTAGCATGTTGTCTTAAGTGTCCAAAAAGCCCACCCGGACTTTAAGGGTCGGTAGCTTAATACACTTTTGGCGGCCATCTTTAAAATGGCCGCCACGCCCTTTCAGAAGAATACTAACATCAGAAAAACTCAAATAACTCACCACCAAGATGACCTATGAACATGCAATATGGCTTATTTTGTTCGCAACAAAATTCTGCACCAGACAGTATATAACAACTTGATTTTTGAATTTATAATTTGTTCCAAAATTTGGAGTTTTTCAAAACATATGGGTATGCGTTGATGCTTTTTTCACAAAGTTCTTTCAAATGTCAACTCTGCTTTACAAACCAGCAAATTTATGCCCTAGATCAGAGGATCCTCGACTTGTTTGCAGTTTTCTTGGATGGTCTACGTCATGAGAACGGTCAGTTGGCTGTCTACTGGATGCTGTACATTGATCTGGTAGAAATACTACTTGGTTTGATTCGTGCAGACCGAACCGGAGACTGGCATTTGCATCTGAGTAGCATCAGGGATTTGATACCCTGGTGTTTCGCAATGGACAAAACGAACTATGCACGATATCTCCCGGTTTACTATGCGCAGATGAGTGAACTGGATAGAACCTGCCCAGATTTACAACGGCACTTTCTTGATGGTGGATTCTCGGTGCAGCTCCGACAGAGTAATCCATTTGGCAGAATTGCTGTAGACCAGACCCTTGAAGAGACAGTAAATAAGGACACCCAGACGCCCGGTGGGACAAAGGGCTTTAGCTTAAATCAGGGTGCACTGTCTCGCTACTATCTCACGGCAGAGCATAGGGCAAATGCTCTGAGACAGCTAAGAGACCTCATCTCGTTGCAGAGTCCAGGGCTTGGTCATGCTGACTTGCAGAATTCCCGGATCACCAGAGACGAAGCTGATGTGGAGTCTATAGTCGAACTGCTTGAAAGCAGTTGGATAAACCCCTTTGGGAATGAGCCCATTGATCTAGTCTGCATTTCCACAGGTGCAGCAGCACCACCTGATGTATGCAGTGACATTATTAAAGCTCGAGAAAGGGGAGAGGAGGCATACAAGCTGCAGGCGGAACGGCTGGAAAAAGGGTAGGGATTCTATGATCCCATAAAGAAGTTGAAATTGAAGACATTCGCCGACATGAAAAAGGACACTGTGGTAAAAGGAACAAACAAAGAAATTGTTCTGAAAGCAGACAATCGGGCATTTGGTCACATGCTTCTTATTGCCCAGAACAGAAAGCTGGACATGCGAGAGGTTATGTGTTATCCCCTTGGTCAAAAGCCATGGGCACTAGCCAATGGTGATGGGACACTGAAGAAAACAGGAAAATCATCATTAGGCAAGCATATTGAGAAGGACATGGCAATCACTGACATGGCCACAGGGCGAAGGGCAACCATCGTTGATGCCATGGGCATTGTTCAAAAGGTCCATGGGGAGCAACTGACATTTGACGAACTGTCTGATCGAATACTGAAACAGATCCTTACTGACGGACGAGGAAGTGAGAGAATCGATGTAGTATTTGATGTGTACAGGGACCAGTCGATAAAGACTGCAGAAAGGATCAATCGCGGGTCTACTCAAGGGATTGTCTTCAGTCAAATCAAGCCTGGCCATCGTATCAAGAACTATAAACGTCTGTTAGCCGGCACCGAGAGCAAGACTAAGCTGACAAAGTTTCTGGCGGATAGCTGGAAAGACGAAAAGAAAAGAGAGCTTCTTGGTAACACTACGTTAATGGTAACATCCGAAGGACTATGCTTTCAGATTACACAGGATAAAGTGACAGAGGTGGAAGAATTGGCTACAACTGGACATGAAGAAGCCGATACACGACTTGTTGTCCATGCCAAGCATGCCGCAGCAAACTATCCTACAGTGATTGTGATTTCAGAGGATACGGATGTTTTTGTTATCCTCCTTGGGATGCATTCAGAAATTGGCACACGGATACTATTGAGAAGAGAAAAGAAAAATCAGATTAGACTGATTGACATTTCCAAATTGGGTACCACACTAGTCAAGAAGGTCTGTCAGGCACTAATAGGTGTCCATGCCTGGACTGGCTGTGATTCTGTAAGCTCATTCGCGGGCAAGGGAAAGGTAAAAGCCGTTAACTTGATCAGGAAGAATGAACAGTTCAGGGATACGTTTGTGCTTCTTGGACAGCAGTGGTCCGTTTCAGATGATCTATTTGATGGCATACAAGAGTTCACCTGTAGCATGTACTGTCGCAATACAAAGGCCAAAGGGGTGAATGAACTGAGGTACGATATGTTCTGTGCCAAAAAGGGTGATTTGTCATCTGGGCAGCTTCCACCTTGTAAGGATGCCTTGCTACAGCATACTAAACGTGCTAACTATCAGGCAGCTATATGGCGGTGCAGCCTTCAGAACACAGTAAATCTCCCTGAACCAACCGAAGGGCATGGCTGGCATCTGAGTGACGGAGACATTGCAATATCGTGGTTAACTGGAGCACCGGCTCCTGAGATGGTTCTCTCCCTGATGGCTTGCAAGTGTCCACGTGTTTGTGCTGAAGACAGTTGCACCTGTATCCAGAATGGATTACCCTGCACCCCAGCATGCAAACTGCAGAACTGTGCCAACATGACAGCGGAAGATGACACCGACCCAGTCCAAGAGAGTGACAATAGTGACATCGATAGTGATGAAGACTAATGCGGACTTATGTTTTGAACCACAAGTCACCTGGAATAGCATTTTTCTTTCAGTCGATTGATTATTAGAAACAGACTATAATTCCAATTCACAAAACCCTACCCAAGTAGCAGCAGAGCCCAACCCAAGTAGCAGCAGAGCCCATTTTCGATAGAGAGGCCAATTTGTGCATAAAGGCTTTTTTGGGTATGGTTTAACTGATTTCCTCTGATTCGTGGTGATAACCCACTCCAGAAAGCGCCAAATGCAATAAATTATTACCAAAATTTTATTGTCTGCACTTATACTTAAGGGTCAAATAACTGCCCCAAACATTTTATCCACACCTGGAGAGCTGCCCAAGGTGATCTAGGACATACATTTGCTGGTGTGTATAGCAGGCTTGACATTTGAAAGAACTTTGTGAAAAAAAGCATCAACGCATACCCATATGTTTGAAAAACTCCGAATTTTGGAACAGATTATAAAATCAAAAGTCAAGTTATTATATACTGTCTGGTGCAGAATTTTGTTACGAACAAAATAAGCCATATTGCATGTTCATAGGTCATCTTGGTGGCGAGTTATTTCAGTTTTTCCGGTGGTTAGTATATTTCTGAATGGGCGTGGTGGCCATTTTAAAGATGGCCGCCAAATTGGTATTAAGCTACCGATCCTGAATGTCCGGGTGGGCTTTTTGAACACTTAAGACATCATGCTAACTGAAAATCCACATTGGATCTGTTCAGCTATTTGATACTCATATTCGGTCTGGCTCATGGACTAAAGGGGGTATACGGACAGACAGATTAGATAGAAATTCTCACATCAAGTTCGACTTGAAAGTAACAGTAATAAGATTTGTTTTTTCAAATTTGTGGGGGATGGGGGGATTTGTCATCTATTGATGACTCTTGTCTTGTATTGATGATAATACGGTCAACTCAAGATCTTGTAAAATTAGTCCAGGAGACTTTACAAAGGGGGATTGCTTTATCTGCATGATGACCACTGTATAGGGTAGGACTGAGTGATGTAAAGTGATGCAGACTGATTGTAAGTTGGAGAGTTGTGTTTCAGAGGTAAGTGGAGGATCTTCTCTGGAAATGAGATCGGGGCCCTGCTTGGGTGGTGGAGTCTCTTTACCTTCAGGAAAAGTCACCCAGATGTCAAAAGTAAGTAGTCTCCTCACCTCTCAGCTTCAAAATTCAAAACACACTTTTGTCCCTGCCGCTTGAAGTAGTATCATGAACTATCACGATTATTGACTAGAATGTGTTTTTACTCATAAAAACATACGTCTCCCCCTTCTTCTTTTTTCTAATTAGTTCAATTTGTTTCTAAAATGTGTCTGCAATTCTGAAAAAAACAATAATAACAAAAAATACTAGTACAGATTCTGATTTATGCATCTATGAAGCAGCTTTACAGTTGTGATATTTTCATTTCAGACAAAGATATTTGTATGGTGGCCAGCACAGTTTCCTCCAAGATCCTGCAGACCATTGCCAAGCAGGAAGGGTGTATTTTTGATGTAGGTTATCTCACTCTCTCACTGATATAGGTCAACTCGCACTCGCACTGATGTAGGTTAACTCACTCTCTCACTGATGCAGGTTAACTCACTCTCTCACTGTGATGCAGATTAACTCACTCTCTCACTGTGATGCAGGTTAACTCACTCTCTCACTGATGTAGGTTAACTCACTCTCTCACTCATGTAGGTTAACTCACTCTCTCACTGATGTAGGTTAACTCACACTCTCACTGATGTAGGTTAACTCACTCTCTCACTGATGTAGGTTAACTCACTCTCACTGATGTAGGTTAACTCACTCTCTCACTGTGATGCAGATTAACTCACTCTCTCACTGATGTAGGTTATCTCACTCTCTCACTGATGTAGGTTAACTCACACTCTCACTGATGTAGGTTAACTCACTCTCTCACTGATGTAGGTTAACTCACACTCTCACTGATGTAGGTTAACTCACTCTCTCACTGATGTAGGTTAACTCACTCTCACTGTGATGCAGATTAACTCACTCTCTCACTGATGTAGGTTAACACACTCTCTCACTGATGTAGGTTAATTCACTCTCTCACTGATGTAGGTTAACTCACTCTCTCATTGATGTAGGTTAACTCACTCTCTCACTGATGTAGGTTAACTCACTCTCTCACTGATGCAGATTAACTCACTCTCTCTGTGATGCAGATTAACTCACTCTCTCACTGATGTAGGTTATCTCACTCTCTCACTGATGCAGGTTATCTCACTCTCTCACTGATGTAGGTTAACTCACTCTCTCACTGATGCAGGTTATCTCACTCTCTCACTGATGTAGGTTAACTCACTCTCTCACTGATGTAGGTTAACTCACTCTCTCACTGATGTAGGTTAACTCACTCTCTCACTGATGTAGGTTAACTCACTCTTTCACTGATGTCGGTTAACACACTCTCTCACTGATGTAGGTTAACTCACTCTCTCACTGATGTCAGTTAACTCACTCTCTCACTGATGCAGGTTATCTCACTCTCTCACTGATGTAGGTTAACTCACTCTCTCACTGATGTAGGTTAACTCACTCTCTCACTGATGTCGGTTAACACACTCTCTCACTGATGTAGGTTAACTCACTCTCTCACTGATGTAGGTTAACTCACTCTCTCACTGATGTCGGTTAACTCACTCTCTCACATATGTAGGTTATCTCACTCTCTCACTGATGTAGGTTAACTCACTCTCTCACTGATGTAGGTTAACTCACTCTCTCACTGATGTAGGTTAACACACTTACACACTGATGTAGGTTAACTCACTCTCTCACTGATGTAGGTTAACTCACTCTTTCACTGATGTAGGTTAACTCACTCTTCACTGATGTAGGTTAACTCACTCTCTCACTGATGTAGGTTAACTCACTCTCTCACTGATGTAGGTTAACTCACTCTCTCACTGATGCAGATTAACTCACCCTCTCACTGATGTAGGTTAACACACTCTCTCACTGATGTAGGTTTACTCACTCTCACTGTGATGCAGATTAACTCACTCTCTCACTGATGTAGGTTATCTCACTCTCTCACTGATGTAGGTTAACTCACACTCTCACTGATGTAGGTTAACTCACTCTCTCACTGATGTAGGTTAACTCACACTCTCACTGATGTAGGTTAACTCACTCTCTCACTGATGTAGGTTAACTCACTCTCTCACTGATGTAGGTTAACTCACTCTCACTGTGATGCAGATTAACTCACTCTCTCACTGATGTAGGTTAACACACTCTCTCACTGATGTAGGTTAACTCACTCTCTCACTGATGTAGGTTAACTCACTCTCTCATTGATGTAGGTTAACTCACTCTCTCACTGATGTAGGTTAACTCACTCTCTCACTGATGCAGATTAACTCACTCTCTCTGTGATGCAGATTAACTCACTCTCTAACTGATGTAGGTTATCTCACTCTCTCACTGATGCAGGTTATCTCACTCTCTCACTGATGTAGGTTAACTCACTCTCTCACTGATGTAGGTTAACTCACTCTCTCACTGATGCAGGTTAACTCACTCTCTCACTGATGTAGGTTAACTCACTCTCTCACTGTGATGCAGGTTATCTCACTCTCTCACTGATGTAGGTTATCTCACTCTCTCACTGTGATGCAGGTTAACTCACTCTCTCACTGATGTAGGTTAACTCACTCTCTCACTGATGCAGGTTAACTCACTCTCTCACTGATGTAGGTTAACTCACTCTCTCACTGATACAGGTTATCTCACTCTCTCACTGATGCAGGTTATCTCACTCTCTCACTGATGTAGGTTAACTCACTCTCTCACTGATGTAGGTTAACTCACTCTCTCACTGATGTAGGTTAACTCACTCTCTCACTGATGTCGGTTAACTCACTCTCTCACTGATGTAGGTTAACTCACTCTCTCACATATGTAGGTTAACTCACTCTCTCACTGATGTAGGTTAACTCACTCTCTCACTGATGTAGGTTAACTCACTCTCTCACATATGTAGGTTAACTCACTCTCTCACTGATGCAGGTTATCTCACTGATGTAGGTTAACTCACTCTCTCACTGATGTAGGTTAACTCACTCTCTCACTGATGTAGGTTAACTCACTCTCTCACTGATGTCGGTTAACTCACTCTCTCACTGATGTAGGTTAACTCACTCTCTCACATATGTAGGTTAACTCACTCTCTCACTGATGTAGGTTAACTCACTCTCTCACTGATGTCGGTTAACACACTCTCTCACTGATGTAGGTTAACTCACTCTCTCACTGATGTAGGTTAACTCACTCTCTCACTGATGTCGGTTAACTCACTCTCTCACATATGTAGGTTATCTCACTCTCTCACTGATGTAGGTTAACTCACTCTCTCACTGATGTAGGTTAACTCACTGTCTCACTGATGTAGGTTAACACACTTACACACTGATGTAGGTTAACTCACTCTCTCACTGATGTAGGTTAACTCACTCTCACTGTGATGCAGATTAACTCACTCTCTCACTGATGTAGGTTAACTCACACTCTCACTGATGTAGGTTAACTCACTCTTTCACTGATGTAGGTTAACTCACACTCTCACTGATGTAGGTTAACTCACTCTCACTTATGTAGGTTATCTCACTCTCTCACTGATTTAGGTTGACTCACTCTCTCACTGATGTCGGTTAACTCACTCTCTCACTGATGTAGTTTAGGTTGACTCTCTCTCACTGATGTAGGTTAACTCACTCTTTCACTGATTTAGGTTGACTCACTCTCTCACTGATTTAGGTTGACTCTCTCTCACTGATGTAGGTTAACTCACTCTTTCACTGATGTAGGTTAACTCACTCCCTCACTGATTTAGGTTGACTCTCTCTCTCTCTCACTGATGTAACTAAAAGACTGATGACCTGTATGAATTGAAGTTGACACAATCTGACTTATGTCTGCAGGAAACCTTGACAGGCTTCAAGTGGATCGCTAACAAGGCTTGTGATAGACAAAATGATGGGAAACATGTCATCTTTGCATTTGAAGAGGCCATTGGTAGGTCACACTTGATAACATCCCTTGTTTTTTGTTCATGTGTGTGTGTTGTACAGGGTTCATGTGTGTGTTGTACAGGGTTCATGTGTGTGTGTTGTATAGGGTTCATGTGTGTGTGTGTGTGTTGTACAGGGTTCATGTGTGTGTGTTGTACAGGATTCATGTGTGTGTTGTACAGGGTTCATGTGTGTGTGTTGTACAGGGTTCATGTGTGTGTTGTACAGGGTTCATATGTGTGTGTTGTACAGGGTTCATGTGTGTGTGTTGTACAGGGTTCATATGTGTGTGTTGTACAGGGTTCATGTGTGTGTGTTGTACAGGGTTCATGTGCGGCACCAAGGTTCTGGACAAGGATGGAGTGAGTGCAGCAGCAGTGATGGCAGAGATGGCAACATTCCTGTACAACCACGACTCAACTCTGGCTAAACAGCTGGAAGAGATATTCAACAAGTAGGTTATAGATGTTGTATGGAGATAAATATTGATAGTATGTGCTCGTTAGTTGTCCAACCAAAGTGCCCAGATTATACTCCAAAGATCTACCCTGCCTCTGATGTTTGTGTTTCAGATACGGTTATCACTTGTCACAAAACTCCTACTTCCGGTGTGATGACCCAGCCATTACTGCCAAGATGTTTCAGAATCTCCGTAACTTCGATGGTCCAGGAAAGGTAGATGTTAACTCTTTCTTACTCAGATGGGGTTCATGGGAAGAATAACCCCCAGAGCCCCTTACTTGTCTTTTGAGTCAATTTGTATCGGAATCATGTAATTACAGTGTGTGACCTGGTTAATATTGAACCATTGTACCCAGATGGCATTGACCATTGCACATGCATTCAACTGTGTGTTTGCATGACTGAGTAAAGGGCTAAATGAATTATGTTCTGACCTGCTAGAAATGCTGTAAGAGGTTTAGAATAACCATGCAGCCTTTCAATTTCTCAATACATGTACTTTTTATGGGGGTCAGTTCTTTTGCATTTCATTAGAGTATTGAACAGCATAGGCCATATAATATTGATTTATATGGTCTTTATTATTTCATCATCAGGGTTAGAAGTTAGAACTAAACTCAAAAGCTTTACTAGCCCAGCTAATGATAAAATGCCCTTGTTAAAACAATAGGGAACTTTGTACTTGCCTGCAGGAATTAGTACTAGCCCCTGGCTAGCAGGCTAGTGTTAAGTTCCAACCAGCCTGCTCATCCCTTTTTCATGATTTTGGGAGCAATGATTGTCCTTGCAGAAGTTATCATAACTAGGTATCTGTACGTAATTTTTTACCTGCCCAAATATCAATGTTAGAATGGTTCTCAAAGACAATGACCATATTTGGCAATTCTCTGAAATTTCATATTTTCATAAAGGCATTTATTTCCCTTGTGTTTAATCTGACACATTATAAGGGAAAAATCAGTTCAAAAGTCCCATTCATTAATGATAGGGAAAATCTTAAGCCAATCTTTCAAAGCAAAATGTACACTGTGCTTATATTGATCTATACTGCTGGACAGGACATTGGAGAGCCACATCTGTGCCACCGTTACATATTCAAGTTACTTAGAATACGGAACATGATAGGAGGAGTTTTCATTTGCAAACTATTTAATTCACGCTTTTTGTTTCAGTATCCATCAAGTTGTGGCCCTTATAAGATCAAATATGTTCGAGATCTGACAGGCAAAGGCTACGACAACAGCCAGCCGGACAATGTTCCAGTGAGTTGAAGTTCTTGTTCTTGTTATTGTAAGGCCTACTCAAGGGATCCTTCCCAAGTGAGTGAGTGAGTGAGTTTAGTTTAACTACTTAGAATATTATTTTAGTTTTATCATGGTGTGTCTCCTTTATGTGGGAGGAAAACTAGAATAATAATCAGGGCAAATCCTGGATGTGAACACACAATCATAGGTTTCTGACACACTTAAGGGAAGAGAGGTGAGGCAACAGGTAGTCATGTGGTCCAAGAAACCACAGTTCACTGTGCAAAATTGCATCCCCAGCTGACTCAAATCACTTTGGTTTCCTCCCACATTTGACTATCATGCCACAAATATGCAATTCTGTTCATTTGGTGTTCAGCCCAACATACACTGATCCTAATGTGCAGACTACAAGAAAATTTGACTGAAAAGATATTAAATCTTTCATTTTAACCCATTAATGTCCCACCTCTTATACCTGCAAATTGTACAGATTTGTCTGCTTCATATAAAAAATATCAATGTCTTCAGATTCTACCCACAAGCAAGTCCTCAGAGATGATCACATTCACATTTGAAAATGGCTGTGTGGCTACCCTGCGGACAAGCGGCACAGAACCCAAAATCAAGTACTACACTGAGCACAAGCCAGACCCCACTAAAGGGTAAGTTATTGAGGGGACATGGGTGGCCCAGTGGTGTAGGGTGCCACAAGAAGGAATGAATAGGGTTGTAGTACATTCTTAACAATATTACTATAACAAGAGACGCCAGAATGGGATCTTCCTGAGACAAGAGAGTTAACTGGCTTTAAAAGTCAAGTTTCCACCCTTGCCGAACTAGGCTGGAATTCCTAGGCTCGATCGGAGCGCCACCAGTGGTTATTACGAGTTATGTCCCTTCTATGACTCTCCTATGGAGCAATCAGATTCCACCTCTCGTATCACTTGCATTTGCTTCGAACAAAATGGCAGCGCCCAGTCAAGACAATCTGATTGATAATCAAGATCTATATTGTGATAAAACAGGTCTTACATCGCGAAGTGCATCAAATCACATGAGCACCTTGATTAAAAACATGAAATGATTTTGAAAATATCTGTTGACAACGAGTTGGTGGTGCACATGCTTTGCAAATCCTGCAATCAACCGAAATCTGCATGACAGTTTACGAACTGGATTTTGGTTTCATTGCGCGATTTTGATTGGACTGTGTATAGATTCGTTAGTCCAGCCAAAATCTAATTCCATAATACCAGCCTAGTTCGGCAAGGGTGGTCACTGGACTTTTATAGTCAGTTAACTCTCTTGCCTCAGGAAAATATGGAGAGATGTTTATTTCCAATTTGAGAATTTTTACTGACATTTGCTGCAGACTTCATGGACATGGAATCTGAACAGGTTTAAATAAATCCCTGCTTTAGCTATGCTGCAAGGTCAGTTGAAAGTTTGCATACATTTGGCACAGATTTAAGCAGTGGCTTTCCATGATGTGAACAATATTATTTAATTCAATGTTTGTCACTTGTGACCTTGACCTTCAGAATGGACCGAGAAGCAGCAAAAAGGGAGTTGAACGACATGGTCCACTGTATAGAGACTCACTTCTTCCAGCCAAAGACTTTCGGACTTATTCCACAATCTAAACTGTAAACTGTCATGCAGATTTCGGTTTCATTGCGCGATTTTGATTGGACTGTGTATAGATTCGTTAGTCCAGCCAAAATCTAATTCCATAATACCAGCCTAGTTCGGCAAGGGTGGTCACTGGACTTTTATAGTCAGTTAACTCTCTTGCCTCAGGAAAATATGGAGAGATGTTTATTTCCAATTTGAGAATTTTTACTGACATTTGCTGCAGACTTCATGGACATGGAATCTAAACAGGTTTAAATAAATCCCTAAATGTATCCTCTATTTTCATTAATCATCGGGGTTGTGGAGTCGGTTATAAAAGATGGGGTGTTGGTTAATGGGGCAATCTGCACAAGGGGTACCTGGGAGGAATCATATTTCTGTTTAACTCAAGGCAGTTTGGATTTATATGGCAAGGAATTTTAAGTGTTAGCTGAAGCCATGTTTTCCTGATATTTTATGTGTATTTTCCATAGGTATTTTTGAGTCGTGATGGAAACTTGGACGACAACCTTTTGTAGTAACACAAGATTTTGAAATACAAATATGTTTAATCAGGTAGAAGTTAGTAGCAGATAGCTAGGCCTATCACATGCTTTTGAATATAGGGATATACCATAATTAATTTAATTCAAGATATCTCCTTTGATATATGTAGGGAGTAATGATAGGATTACATTTATAATTTATTGTAGAATGAATATATAATGTGATGAACATTTTACACTTTAACAAAAGACAAGATGTGAATTGTTTGTATACTCCTCAGGGAGGTGAGAATGAGACTAATCCATTGACCAGGTTAATAATAGAAATAATGTCATAGTGCTATGAGCATACCGACAGGCATGGAAGTTTGCACTGTCGAAATGTACTCATTATTATTATTGTTGTGGTGTTGTTGTTATGATTAATATTGAAAATTGTATTGTTAAATTTTATTTAAGCAAAAATGAAGTATAAACAAATACCATGCATTGAAAAGTTGCTGCATGTTTATGAGTACAGTTCTCTATCACTCATCTCTCTGTGATGGGGATGAGTGACAACATCATTTACTCACTCACTCACTCACTCACTCACCATGGAATTACTGGTACATTGTCAAGAAACAGTGTCTGAGCTTACAAGGTATTTTGAGCTTGTTTGAGAACGTATCAATAAATACCATTGCTTAACTGTTAATTCCTTATTTCATATAAATGTAAATAAACAGGTTAAGTTGGATGGCTAAGATCATATACATTTTTCTCATAACTTGTGAAATGCTTAAGCCTCGCTGAGAGCATCTTCGATTATTCAGGCTAACATAATCTCCTTTCTATTATGACAACAACCCTGGACCCATTTGCCATCAATGCTTTGTATACAAGTAATGCGGTGGTGGTGAATGTGTCTAGGGTATTTATAGAATGGTGATTTTATGCCTTGGATAGTCGGAAGATGCATTGAGAGAAGTTCCACCATGTTGATCTGTGACTACAGTGTATGACCTTTAGAGGGTTTGGTTTGGTTTGTTGTTTAACGCCGCCCTCTGCAATATTACGGCGGTCTGTAAATAATCGAGTCTGGACCAGACAATCCAGTGATTGACATCATGAGCATCGATCCACGCAATTGGGATCAATGACATGCATCAACCAACTCAGCGAGCCTGACCACCTGATCCTGTTAGTCGCCTTTAACGACAAGCATAGTCGCCTTTTATGGCAAGCATGGGTTGCTGAAAACCTATTCTACCCCGGATCTTCACAGGTCGCCTTGAGAGGGAGATGACTGTATCAGAGTATAGAAATGAAAACAAAATCATTCTTCACATATATTCCAATACCTCAATACCAAAATTGCCTGTTTTACATACATGTATTTGTCACTGACCTGTTTGTTTTGAGTCCAATGCTGATTCAACACTTGCAATAACAAACCAAATTGCTTGATAAGCCTTGTCTCATGCTTTGAAACCATTTAAAATGAATTTTTGAAACCAGACAAGTGTCATTTCTTGTTTTTGTATAATTTTCTTGATCAGGTATGATGGCAACATACAGAAATAATAAAAATGATGTAAGGGTTGATTTTTCTATAACAACCTCTTGAAACAACGGTTTTGACAAAATTATAGACAAAAATATGCCCAGATAATGCATATTCATAATCAGTCACAGCATTTGAATTTATTTATCATTTCATGTTTTATTTTGTTACGGATAGGTTTTTCTATTAGAAAATAAAGCAAAATGCCAAAATAAACTTGTCTGGTCAAAGAGTTGTTTGTTTTGTTTGTGATCTCCCTGATAGCCACAAATAGGCAGATTTGCCTCATGAGAAAATAAAAAAAAGCATTTCAAATTCATTACCGGTACTTGTAAATAAGAGAAGGGTTATTATTAAATTAATTAAGTGTCTTGTCCTTTTTGTCAGTGTGTGCCAATTATTTTCTGTCATCAATAATTGTTATCGCTACTTTTAATGTTATTTTGTTATTAGTGTTGTAAAGCAATTTTATTACATTGTATTGTCAAAGATGGTCATTTACTCCAGGGCAGTTTTGTTTTGCTGTGCATCACTGAACTGTTTTCTGAAGGAATCATACTAGGCAAAAATGGTACCATGGTACCATGCAAGCAAAATTTACCATATGTGACTCTTCTGTTAATCATACGTGCTTGTGTTGCTTCTGTTGTATTATTTGTTTGTTTTATTAGTGGATTTATCATGTTGCTGCTGACAACAGGACTATTTTAAAGCCCGACTATTTAACATTTTGGTGAGACCAGGGATTTTTGTCACTTTTTCAAAACATGCAGTTTACCTCTGTGGACAGCCAAAATTTTCAGTGAACCGTGTGCGTGCATGCGTGCGAGAGAAAGAAGAACTAATTCCCACACCCATTAGAATGTAAAATGGTTGTCCTCTTAGCACATCATGCTGTTCATCCATGACATTATTTGTCACTATTGCTAAAATATTGCTGTTGTTACTGTTTTTGCTGAATCTTGCTTATTATATTTGTCCTTTATCAGCTTAACCGTGTTATTATATTCAGTGGAATGGATGATAAATCAAAGTCATTCCTCAGCAATATTAAAACCTTCTACAAACATTTCCATTTGTGAAAAAAACAATTCACGAGCATGATGACCTTGCTCTTATTATTTTCATAGATTGTACAAAACGTTCCAGTGTCTCCGATATCTGACCATCTTTGTGTAGCCAGGGTATTATATATCCCCATTCTGTTGTGATAAATATCCTGGACCCATTCACCACTATAGCTTCATTTCAGGTGGTTTAGATCACAATCTTCAGTTCTTTCATCACTTACTCTTTCACCTGATATGTTTACATGGATTTCTTTCAACTGAAATCAAATCAAGTGGCTTCTTCTGAACACGAGTCTCGCATACAAATAATTTGAAAATCCTGGCGTGTTACAAGCCCTTGATGAATTTAAGGAAATTAAGAAGACTTTTTGGTGTGAATTTCTAGTTGGAAAATATGTTGTCAAGAGCAAGATGGGAATAGGGAAATCATTTGCTGCAAGACATTCCCAGTTCAAGTTGAATATGAGATGGCATGCAACAGAATGGTGATATCATTGCTTGTTTCTTAAAAGAAGTCCATTTTTAGCATTGTGTTATTCAACTGAATTCAGTATGATTTGGTTTGTTGTTTAACGCTATACTTAGCAATTTTCCAGCGGTGAATTCAGTATGACGTTATGGTAGTTAAGAGGTCCAGGGTATACATCATAATACATAGAGATATGATACACTGGATAATGGAGGCTGACATCTGACTTGCATCATTTTATCTCCACATTATTATTGCTTTGTTGCCGATTTTGTTATGGTATGTTTTTGTTTTGTGTAATATTTAGTTGTTTTTTCTACAGTTACTTTTTGAAAAAATGTTAATCAGTCGTATTTTAATGTTTATGTCTTTAATTTGCCATTGATAAAAAAAAAGTTAGGAAAAAAGGGCCTTTTGATTTCTTTCATTTAGCATTTAGTTAAAAGAAATTCACTTTAATAATAAATTTGAATTTGATGATTTATCATAATTCATTTCATAATCCAGTAACCATGATTATAACTGGTGTACTTTTATTCTTTGGAAAACAATATCCTTATCTACACTAGAAAGTATTAAACAGGAACAGGTTATTAGGTTAACTAGACTTGAAACGGTTAGTAGCAGAATGTAAAACTATGTCTTAAATGTATCAGTATTGTGCATGTTTTTTTCTCATTTACATGTTGGTTGTTATTTATCTGTTGGCTATCAAAATAAATATTTCAAAAATCAGTTTGTTTTGTTAAACTGTAATTTCTTTTTGTCCATTTGTGGTTAAAATATTTTAACCCTGGTCAGAATGCTGAATTAATTTGAATATCAACAGGAAGTGAAGTACAACAGTCACTTAAATAGAGTTCTTTCCTCATAAATTAAAGTTTTACTGAATATTATTTTAATTCCTAAGTGAGACGCATCTATATACACGCGTATATTTCTATTTCTGAATTTTACAAATTTGAATTATATCTATGGAATTTACCTATTTTTACAATTTTTTTAACTTATCCTGCATTACTCCTTAAAGCATTTACTACTTATTCTTGACAGAGAGAAAGAGCTGTGTGAGGTCTTAATGAAGAAGAAGTTGTTCCAACTAGTTGAGTGGCTAAGCCTATTACACAGCTCCCATGAGACCACAGGAGGTAACGTCACTGATCAGCACATTACTGCTATGCAGATGCAGGATCAGAATACAAATATAAAAAATATCTAGGATTTAACTAGATTTTTTAACTTATCCTGCTTTACTTAATGCATCTTTATCCGACAGTACCTTCAGATGTGATCTTCAATAAAATTCTCAAAACTCCAACCAATCAGCAATAACGATGTCTGGCATCGAGTGACCATTCCTGTTGACAGAGAAGGAGAAAGTTAGGTATGTGTGATTTCCAGGTATTGATGCAAACATAGAAGTTAAATAAAATTAAAGTCTAGAACTGTCATACCGAGCCTAATGCGTGCAGCATGTAGCCTTCTAATAAGGGGTGACACACACCGGAGAGGTTGCAAGGCCGGTTCTGGACGTATGGAAACGTAAATGGCGGTATGTTGCTTGGCAACCACCAAAGGGCCAACGCTGTGTACACCTTCCACTTCTTCTAAGACGACTTTGCGCAAGCAGTGGCTGGTGAAGGCGGTGTCTGATCGCCAGAAGCAACCTTCCATTTTTGGCACATATTTTGACATCTCACTCTGTCCAGTTCAAGACTTGAGGATCTACCCGAAGGCCTCTTAGACCTTACGTCGTTCACGCAAGCGTTTATTCATACCATTATTGACGGCTGCAAATTCAGAGGTATCTCTTTTTGGCTACGTTCCATCATCCTAAGAGCTTACCAGTTTGGGGTATTACCACCTCCAGTTGCTGCCAACCCTCAGGAAACATGGGCATCGGCTTCCACCTTGGCATTGCACAGCAACTGAACACTCTCAGCCATCATGGAGGGATGCTTCTTGAGGTATGACACGGTTTTTGCTTCCCACTACCTTTGTGATGTCTCAGTCGCCCATGTCCATGGTTTTTATCACTTTGGTCCTCTTGTTTGGGTGGTGAGGTGGCCTAGTGGTTAAAGGTTAGCTCTTCACGCCGGATTTTGATTCCCCACATTGGCGCAATGTGTGAAGCCCATTTTCAGGTGTCCCCAGCCATGATATTGCTAGAATTTTGCTAAAAGTGGCGTAAAAAAACATACTCACTCTTGTTTGGCCCAAAAGCTTACAGCTGGTCCCAGTTGCACAAAGCGATCTTAGTGCTACGACTATTGTAAGCCTATGTTAAAATATGGGAGTTACAATCATCTTAGCAATAAGATCGATTTGTGCAACTGGTCCCATCGATTCCCGGATTTTATTTCGTTTTAGGAATTTTGACATTGTAGATCCGTTTACCCAACATTTTTTTTGCAATTTCTGTGCCACTAACTTCATTATTTGTCAAGGTGATAAGTAGATCTAATTGTTTCTCTGTTTGCTTAATTTCTTTCAAATCGGTGTCATGATTAAGCAGACGACATGTCAAGCTCCTCACAGCGATAGTCCGTTCGCGGAGCTCTATGTTACCGAGAGTGTAACGAAGGTGTCACGCGCTGGGAAGGAGCCAGACGACTATTAAACCAAGGGGGGTAATTTAACCAATTTCGTGTTCATGTCCCATGTCAAAAGTACCGGTAAAAACTGTCATTTATCATGAATTAGGACTTCGAAAAAGTGGAGGGTGAAGGGTAAAACTGCAACCGTCTTGTTGAATTAACTTTTTGCACTTGGGTGGACATACCTGCGTATTAATTATTGTCGGATTAGATACTAGACTATCTGTGCCAACTGAAAAAAGGCGATCCATACCTAAAATACTCGACAGATCTGTATACCTCTTTCGAAGCATAGGTTGTCTGTGATTATACTACTGTTACGTGAAACGCCAAACAAGCACAGTCTTTATTAAATACCTGACAGAAAATGACTCGACATCCAGAAGGATAAATCCTACCAAAACTCATTAAAAAAAACAATCACGGGTCAAGTTTCAAAACGAAGGCAAATTTCAATCACAGATAAACTCAATGGCCGAACGGTCGTATCAAAAACTGGGAGTGACATGACAATCGGCACTAGGAGAAAAGGTACAGATAATCGACGTGAGGATTGTGAGAATATGCGGGAAATACCACACTTAACCCACCTGTTCGTAAAAATGGACTTGTCCCACATTTCCCAGGTCGCATTCTATACAGGGAGTCATCGTTATTAAAATTTTGGTAAACATGGTTAAAGTTTGATCAACAATTTGATCAGCTAGCGAGCCCTATCGGCCAGTGTCCGACAGCCGAGAAGAAGGTTCTGGAAGCCAGAGATTAATTCCCCTTTAAAGAGACTGTATATACATACCTCATAGGCCTTTATACTAATTATAGGCCGGCTGGCGTTATCCCTTTTATATACATCTGCCTGTATTTTACCAAATTGAAATATTATTGTATACAACGCCGGGTGACACTTAAATAAAACAATTTTCCTTTTCTCTTCATAATTTTCCAATGTTAGGGTTTTGCTGTATCGATGTTATCATTATAAGGTCTAGTGAACTAAAAATGTTAGTTTCTGTCGCTGCATCTTTTTAACGAGTGCAAATAGCGGAACAAAATTCGTGTTATTTAAAGATGTACAGTAGTGTACACGGTGTAGAATATTTTTATCTTACATATATAACCACGATTCATGCATTCGATAATTAGTGAATACTCGTCAGTTCCAGCTTTGACGTGAATTTGTATTTCGAATTGCCGTTGAGTTTCCCATTGCAAAATGTACTGTACAATCTCGATCTAGTTCCAAGTGTTTGCAGCAGCTTGTTAGAAAATCCACATAGCTAAATGCTAGATGCATCTAGTGATTACTTTTCTAGATATTATATAAAATCATTGTTCATGAGTTTTCAACAACATTACGTAAAGTAGATCTACGTTTCCAGGCAGATATCCAGTTTGAAAAACAGTGTTTGTGTTTTTAGAATGTCTACATAATCGAAACCTAATTTGAAATCCTCAATGTTATTTCAATGCGTAGATTAATGTCATGCTTTAACACATGTCCCAAAACGTATCAGAATTAGCATGGAGATTCAATAAAGTAAAGTAATCAAGAGATCTACAGGACAGATCTAATGTTTAGGCACTGGGATAAAGGTTATATAGGATTACGGAAACAAAAGCCACACCTACTACAATGTCATTTCACAAAAGAAGTGATCGCATGTTGGACTGTCCTTTAATCCCACGATTAACATATATTTGGCAGCAGAAAGTTAATAACTGGGCAAGAATGCAGTATACCAGACATCTAGTATAATGCAGGCCTACTTGAAACCCATAATACATAACTATCAATTTGCAAGAAGTAGAATACACATAGATCACTCACATATAATGCTGGACCTGGCGACCCGTGAAGATCCTGGTTACAATTTGTCCTCAGCATCACATGCTTGTCCTAAGAGGACTGTCGTAAGAGGCAAGTAACGGGGTCGGGTGGTCAGCTATATAGGCTCGCTGACTTGTTTGATGCATGTCATTGTATCGATGTAGATCGATGCTCGTGATGCCAATCACTGAATTGTCTGGTCCAGATTAGAGTATTTACAGATCGCTAAATGCTTAGTTAACCACAAAAAAACTAAAACTGAACCTGGCATTCCTTGTCAGTGCTCGCCATGTCATGACATATCATGGTCATTTATGACGTCACCTATTAATTCCTGAATGACGTCACTTTCAAATGACGTCATGACCACGTACTGTTTGGCTAAAAGCGAATACCATTGTTCAGTCACAACAATAACAAACGACTCTTGAAGACAAACTAATTATGTTCAAAACGAGGTCCTAATTAAAGTATAGATTGTAATTTCAATAAAAGGGAGTTCCGTATTTGAGTACAGTTCATAAAAACAATAGAAAGAAAACATGCAATGTCAAACGAAATGGCATTGATAAAGCACCACTTCTTGTGCAGCAAGCCCCTCTGCAAATCCGAGTTTGTATGGATGACAATTTTCATTTTTACAACAATGAAACCTTAAACAGATGTCTGAAATAATTGAAGATATTGTTATTAGTTCAGTGGGCTAGTTGGCATTCACGTGCAAGTTTGTTTGTTTGTTCGTTGCTACCCGGCACTCAGCAATATTCCAGCTATATGATGGATGCCTGTGTATATGATTGATAAAGCGGTCTGTAAATAATCAAATCTGGACCAGACAATCCAGTGATTCACATCATGAGTATCGATCTATGCAATTTGGATACAATGACATCCATCAACCAAGCCAGTCGGCCTGATCACCCGATCCTGTTAGTCGCCTCTTGCGACAAGCAGTCGCCTTTTACAGCAAGCATGGGTTGCTGAAGACATATTCTACCTGTCACGGGTCTCACCTGCAATGGAAGAATCTGTTTCCATTCAATGAGTGCATGGCTTTATGTCACCTAGCAATATCCCCGCATTATCACGGGAGAACACCAGAAATAGGATTCACATTTTCTCATGTGGAGAATCGAACACAGGCTTTTGGCATAACAAACTAATGCTAGGCTACCCCACCACCCAATTTCCATTGAACTTGGTTGAGTCTGAGCGTGGAGCGATGTGCATGTCGCCTTCATACTTAATGGTATATGGCAACGCGCCATGACATATGAGCCCATGAGCAAATTTTCATGACAGTTTCACACAATCAGCCACATCAACAACAGGAAAGAAGACGTAGAGGAAATGCCGGTTTTATTGCATAAAATGTTAAAGCTGAGTTCAAAGCATATATATATATTTTAATTTCTCTGGTGAATCCAGTCACAACCTGAACCCATATTTCTTGTATCAAACACAAAATCCTACAGCTCACCAAGTGATACAGTAAACAACCAACAAAGTAAGATGAGTATCTACATTTGAGGACCAAACATACAAATACTGGCAAGGCATACAAATGACAAAAACATCGTCATTGTAGATCACTGACATGTGAAAACTAATCGGAATGGCAGAGTGGGTTGAGGAAATGGCTTCATCTCAAGGTACTGAGGACCATGAATTCTTTGGCACATACACACAGGATGTATATCTGTTGCATAATAAACGTCATTTGGACACATGATTAATGAGCTACGTGCAAGGTAAGACAAAGTGTTCCAAATACTAGTTTTTATTCCACATCCTACAATTTATTTCGTGCCTGCAAACACTTGACCTTGTTGGTATTATAACACGTCTCATTTGGGGAAATCTCAACTTCTGAATTTGAAATCATTATCACATTTGTATTGACAACATGATTCAGAATCATAAAAGAGAGAGAGAGCAAATTTCAATTTCTGAATTTTGGAAAGATTATCATTATGAGTAGATACCATTAGTTATCGTCTATAAAAAATAAACATGTAATGACCTGTTGACATAATACCCTTGTGTTGCACAAGTTTGGCACAATGCTCCAAACAAACAAATATCAGTGTAAAATCTTAACAAAAAAAGCTATCTTAAATACAGCATGTATTACAGCTGTAACAACATTGCCAACCATTTTCTATATGTTGGATAACATACTTATTAGATGGGTGTACTAAAGCAGTCAAATGACTTCGAGAACATAACTTATATTGTGACTGATGACAATTGGTAGATCTTCATATGCAAAATTTTCCAGATTTGTGCGGAAGGCTCGGGGTTCGATTCCCGGCCGCGTCATACCAAAAGACGTTAAAAGATGGTACTTGTTGTTACCCTGCCTGGCGCTCGGCATTAAGGGGCTAAAACAAGGACTGGTCGGCTCGGAGTCAGTATACTGTGTCTGAGTGGGATATTCATGTTAAACTGCGGCATGGTATCTCAGTGGGCTAGCACTATACATCGGCATCAGTCCGGACTAGTACAAGCAGCGACACACGCACAGACAAGTCGCTATATAAGTGCAATAATCTTGGACGCGACGTTAAACCCCATTTCACCTCACCTCACCAGATTTGTGTTGACACTGTGGATTGGTGTCCATGTGAGGCATGTAGAACTCCAGAGAAAAAACATATCTATTTTGAGGTAATTGTTAGTATCTCTTGCGTAGGCTGATGGGCTGTCAGAATGGTAGGAGGTAAGATATATACCCCAGATGTAGGAATTGGTAAGGGGGTGCAAATTGGAGCAGGGTGCTTAACAGAGCAAATACATTATTTACATTTTCAGTTCAAAATTTTGTGCCAACCTTCACATAGTTGCCATCTTCCTGAGGAAAGGGCTTTAACTGACTATAAAAGTCCAGATTCCATCCTTGCCAAACTAGGCGGGCATTTCCGGGATCGCCACCAGTGGCAATTATGAGTTATGTCCCTTCTATGTCCCTCCTACGGATCAATCAGATTCCATCTCTCATATCACTTGCAATTCCTTCAAACAAAATGGCAAACATGAAATTCTTACCATGAACACGTTTGTGGCACAATTGAAGGCACTGGAGGTTTATGGTGGGATTACTGGAATGTCTCATATAACACATTCATAAAAAAAGGTTTATTCTTTTATCAATATTACAAATCGATAATAAACCCTCAGAAACAATGCAATCAACTCATTTGCACATCACCCTCATTAAAATATTAATCAATGCACAATGGACATCAACTCATTCACACATGACCCTCATAAAAATAGTAATGAATGGACGAGCCACATCAACTTTAATCATCATGAAAGTGTCCCTGCATTTATGAGAAGCCCATGTGTGTCCGAAGACATAACGCCTATAATCCCTGAGTAATGGTGGTCAACAGCGGCGGCAGTACAGGCTAGTATTCTTGTCTGTACAGGTTGCCTCCTCTTTTATGATGTTGACCTTCACACTTCATCCTTACTGCCCTGAAAACAAACATTCATATTTTCTTAGAATAGGACAATTTGTTTTCATCAAGATTCATGATCTTATCATCCCAAACCGGCTTCCACAGGAGGTATCATTTGGGTAAGTAAGTATAATTGACAGGGTATGGCAATTTCATATTTGTAACACAAGCTAAGTTTGCAACAAGTGATGGTCTCACAAGTGATTGGACAACACTGAAGGGTCAAGGTCACTGTGTGTGAAGTAGGCCTCTAAAAAAACCTTATATATTAAAATTTGATAAAACTTTATATACATGGGCAGTCATGCCAGTTCATGGCAGATTGAAGGTCAAGGTTATTTATCGCCAGAAGTGCTTATAACTTTGTTATTATGTAGTTAGAGGCATGGGACTTTCTGTTTCAAAGTTGTACTGTACTGGGATTTTAATTTCTATCTGATCTGTCTGTCAGTATGCAAAAGTGGTTATTGAGCTATCAAAACAATACCATGGTATTAGGATTCGGAACTTTGTATTTCTATTTCAGGTACACACCTGAAGATAACCGAATAAAAATCAGACTTGTTGCCATGGAAATGGAAAAAATATAAATCCTAAAAATCTGCACCAGAAACAACACCTACCTCCTTCTCAGCTAAGTCTAACTTGTTTCCATGGAAACAGGGAAAAATCAAATGTTGTAAACTTATTTTGAAAAAAGATATTGAACGTTTTTTGAGTTACGCTACGGAAACAAAATTATTATGGACGGACAGACAGACAATGCGTCGACTTTAATGACAAAAAAGAAAGTAGAAACGAGCTACAGGGCAGGCACTTATTTAGGACGCTGATTCCACCACTCAGATAAAGAGAATGGTTAAAAATTCAAATGGAACATGCTGACCTACCTCATATGCATCCCTCCCGACATTCCACTAGGATTTCATTGATGCCGACATATTCAGGTTGTGAGGCAGCAAAAACCACAGCACGGGCGACATCTTCTGCCTCCAGGACTTTACCCGATTCACTCATGTCAAACTGGGACTTTGCCTGCAATGGTCATGATGAATTGTTGCCTTCATTACCATCCTTGACTGTCCAGGGTATTATATCTCCTGGCACAATCCCTACCAAAGTGTCATATGGTATTAGTTCAGCAAAACATAACAAGAGTCATCTTAAGATGTCAAAGTCAAACTTGTTGCCATGGAAACAGAAAAAAAATGTAAATTCTAAAATCCGCTAAATAGCATTTGGCAACCTGGTCTTTGTGTGTGCACAGTTTCAAGAAAGAATACCTATTAGTTTTAGAGATATGGTCCGACAAACACACCACTATGAACAGAGTCAAAGTCAAACTTGTTGCCATGGAATCGGAAAATGAATATATTTTTTAAGATTTCTAAATAGCAAAAGGGACCACTTCAGCCCTTGATTAATACATGTACCAGGTTTGGACATAAAATCTTTCACAGTTTTCAATTTGTGCTCCGGGAACGACATATACCCTCACCTTTAAGAGAATTAGTCCAAATTGTTTCCATAGAAATCATGAAAAATAAAAATGCCCAAAATCTGCAAATAGCAAAAGGTACCACTTCAGGATCTGTTTGGTATATCTGCTAAGTTTTGTTGAAAGATATTGAACGTTTTTTGAGTTGAGCTCCGGAAACAAAATACACCCCACCTTTAGAGAGTAAGTCCAAACTGTTTCCATGGAAATCAGGAAAAATAAAATGATTACAGATGGATGGACAGACGAGGCATCGACTATATACCCCCTCATTATATGCCAGGGGGATAAAAATGTGTCCAAAACATATTTACTCAGGGCAATTATTGCATGACTTCACAGCACATGATGGTTGTAATTATTTGCTCAAATTTCATGACTTAATTCCCTATAAGCAAAGGCATTACATAAGTGCTACAGAATGCCTTTTATATCAATTCACTTGATAACAATTATTGATCTTAATTTCCATCCAGCGAACAAAGTGTGAGTCCTAAACATGTGTGAGAATAGCAAGCTCATACCTCAGCATCTGTTGTGTGGCCTTGAAGTTCCGTCTTTACGTCTCCAGGCTGGATACAGGTGACCTTGACCCCCAACCCCTTGACCTCATGGCGCAAAGCCTGGGACATTCCTTCCACAAAGAACTTGGTGCCTGAGTAGACAGCCAGTCCAGGAAATCCCTAAAGTGAGACAAGTGGCAAGATGTAAAACTGATACAAATGATGACGTTGATGGTTTGTTTGTTTGTTGCAGCAGTCGGTAATATACTAGTTATATCATGGTGGCTGTATATAAGGGAGTCTGGGCAAGACAAAACTGTGACTGATTACTGAGCAAAGTATTTGGCAAAGTGCTATGCTGCCTGGGTGCAATGACACAGTCAACCATGTTACCACGCCTCACCAGCCAATCCAGTTCTTCATTTCTTATGACAAGCCTGGGTTAATAGGAAGTAATTCTAACCTGGAATCCCTGGTATACCCCCAGGCTAAAACGTAAAATATCACCATTGTATTCAGAGACCATATACCATATGTTTTAGGGCTGGGACGAGTCCAAATTTACTACCCGGATCCCCACCCCACCCTGGGTACCCACCCCACCCCTATTACCCCACCCTACCCGGGTACCTGCTGTAGGTCATAACTTGGGCACAAAATGTTCAATTGGGAATTGTTTTACCGGAGCCCTGGCAAAAAGTGTTTAGATATAGTATAAAACGATCTGATTGACCGAAGCTTTGTCTTTACTTAAACATAGAAAAGTCAGAAGGAATGTACATATAGCCAGAAGGAAATGCGAACATTAGCGACTTGTACTAGTGTAACCATGGCGTTGTATTGTTATTATCATTTAACCATATATCACATGACTAACCACGGGTCCAGGTAGTCCTGTGGGTCCCTGGGTCCTACTCAGGACCCACCTGACCCGAGTACCCGAGTATTAGATGCCCTAACATATGGTATATGATCTCTGCTGTACTGTTTCAAAAATGTACCGATAGTGCCTGTAAGCATGGAAAGTTAAATCAAGAAACTTTTATCAACTTTGTTTTAAGCTTACATATATCAAAAAGCAAGGCCATTGCTGATAAACCTAGAAACATAATTGGGTCGAACCGGGATTCGAATCCACAATCATAGGTTTCTGGTGTGCCAAAGGGATTCAATTCTGTTTGCCTTAGGGGACTGGGCCACCCATGCCCCTTCTAACATGGAACTTTAATCTCATTAAAAAGGGTTATATTGATAAAGTATGATTGTGAAGTGGGAGGTTGTGTGGCTGCTGTTGTTACATGTGAAGCAACAACTTTCCTAGTTGAAGGTAGCCTAGGCATCAAGCATTCATTCCAAGAGTTGTTTAAACCCCATTAACGTCACTGCCTATATGTCCTTTATTGCAAGATACTTCTTGTAGTGGTTTCATATTACTGGTGTTGTCTAAAAAGGGAATTGCACTGTGGCCAACTTTGGTCACATGCTACTTTAGGTCTTCTAGCCTTTGGGTATCGCTCACTGACTTTCTTTAATATCTATATCTGTTTAACTCTCACCTTCCTGCCTGCATCCGATGAGATGTTGATGATGTGACCCTTCTTTCTCTTGACCATCCCATCAAGGACACTACCAATACAGTTGGTCACGCCCTGCAAACAGAAGACAGTTATTCAAATATATATTCAGGATCATAAATATTAAAATTCAACACATCGTTTATGGTATAATTAACCTATCCAGTGCTCCAGACAGATGCCGTATTTATGTTCTGAAGAAACGAAAACTTGTCTAATATGGATGGATTGCAAATTATAACAGTCTTAAATACGCGGGTAAACAATACTATACGCTATCATGATCAATTGTTACCATACCATGTCTATTTATTATCAAAAATGTTCTTCAAAACTTAGTTAAACTACCGTTTACCGTATCAGGCATTACCTTCCCCTTAACAGGAATATGTCATTTTGTGTCAGCAGGAAATCGATTTCCTCCCAATCCTGCATTGCCATTGGCTATTGACGCACTCAAATTCTCTTGTCTTGGTTATGTTTACGCTAGTTTGACATCCAAATCCGAATGTACAACAATGTACAACAATGTACAAGGCCTTTGAATGATGCCAGAACAATAACATACCAGTACTTGTCAATTCTACAAACGAGCAGTGTGGTACTTTTCGGTTTGAAAAAATATGTCAGATTATTGTCAATTTTGATACTGACCAGTCCTGTACTCATGTTGTTGAAAAGTTATCTAGGCCACTGCCTATCCATCAATATACTGCATGAAAGAGTGTTCTAAATACACACCAACAATTGAAGCGCCACAGGAACAATTGGAAAAACTCCAGACATGGTGAAGGATTTTCTTTGAATTTAATCAACTCTTTTACGAATGTTTCATTTGTGTAAATTGTGGAATTACTTATCCCTTCCTCTAAAATGATAGTGACTTATAACTAGAAACAGCTACCAAAGCTTTGTATTGAACTTAAGGTGATATGATGTGAAAATACCTGTACAATAAATTTTCACTCAACAGTCAACATGGTCAAGAGAAATTTTGCGGAACATTACCCACAGAGAAATGGATATGTGGTAATCACTTCCCAAAATAGGTTAGATTGTTATTGAGTGAAGTGTAAGTTAACAGGGTATGAAACTTCCCAAAATTTCAGCCAGACCACAGGACTGGCTAGCTGAAATACTTGCCAGCCCTGACCAAAACCTGCCTGCCCTCTATCATGTCTATAATCATATGTTTCTCAGGATAAGCTAACGGGGTTTCTTTTTGGTTACATTTTATCATTCATCTTTACATGTGAATTAATGCTTATCATCGGGAAATATTTTGAATATTTTCACATATGAAATATAACCCGACCGTCGGGCAGGGGGATTTGAAAATCTGGCAGCCCGAGTTGAAATCAATCTGTCTCGGACGGTCGGGCAGGCAGGTATTTCGAACACTGAAGTTAATGACAATGGAAGGGGGGTGGGATATAATACACTGGATTCTCAGGATGTCCCACAAGGGGCAACAGCACTTACTTTACAGTTGAGGTCTACTTGTTTGTCCCACTCATCGAAGTGCAGGTTGGTCATCAGCGTGTAGTACATGATGCCGGCATTATTCACAAGGATGTCCACGGGGCCAAGCGTCATCTCTGTGTGCTTCACCAACTCCGCAACCTCAACACACAAACATCACATGTATAACACACAGGTTTGTTTGTTTGTTTGTTGTTAACTCTTCACCAACTCCGCAACCTCAACACACAAACACCACATGTATAACACACAGGTTTGTTTGTTTGTTGTTAACTCTTCACCAACTCCGCAACCTCAACACACAAACACCACATGTATAACACACAGGTTTGTTTGTTTGTTGTTAACTCTTCACCAACTCCGCAACCTCAACACACAAACATCACATGTATAACACACAGGTTTGTTTGTTTGTTGTTAACTCTTCACCAACTCCGCAACCTCAACACACAAACACCACATGTATAACACACAGGTTTGTTTGTTTGTTGTTAACTCTTCACCAACTCCGCAACCTCAACACACAAACACCACATGTATAACACACAGGTTTGTTTGTTTGTTGTTAACTCTTCACCAACTCCGCAACCTCAACACACAAACATCACATGTATAACACACAGGTTTGTTTGTTTGTTGTTAACTCTTCACCAACTCCGCAACCTCAACACACAAACACCACATGTATAACACACAGGTTTGTTTGTTTGTTGTTAACTCTTCACCAACTCCGCAACCTCAACACACAAACACCACATGTATAACACACAGGTTTGTATGTTTGTTGTTAACTCTTCACCAACTCCGCAACCTCAACACACAAACATCACATGTATAACACACAGGTTTGTTTGTTTGTTGTTAACTCTTCACCAACTCCGCAACCTCAACACACAAACACCACATGTATAACACACAGGTTTGTTTGTTTGTTGTTAACTCTTCACCAACTCCGCAACCTCAACACACAAACATCACATGTATAACACACAGGTTTGTTTGTTTGTTGTTAACTCTTCACCAACTCCGCAACCTCAACACACAAACATCACATGTATAACACACAGGTTTGTTTGCTTGTTGTTAACTCTTCACCAACTCCGCAACCTCAACACACAAACACCACATGAATAACACACAGGTTTGCTTGTTGTTAACGCTTCAACTCCACAACCTCAACACACAAACATCACAGGTATAACACACAGGTTTGTTTGTTTGTTGTTAACGCTTCACCAACTCCGCAACCTCAACACACAAACATCACATGTATAACACACAGGTTTGTTTGTTTGTTGTTAACTCTTCACCAACTCCGCAACCTCAACACACAAACACCACATGTATAACACACAGGTTTGTTTGTTTGTTGTTAACTCTTCACCAACTCCGCAACCTCAACACACAAACACCACATGTATAACACACAGGTTTGTATGTTTGTTGTTAACTCTTCACCAACTCCGCAACCTCAACACACAAACATCACATGTATAACACACAGGTTTGTTTGTTTGTTGTTAACTCTTCACCAACTCCGCAACCTCAACACACAAACACCACATGTATAACACACAGGTTTGTTTGTTTGTTGTTAACTCTTCACCAACTCCGCAACCTCAACACACAAACATCACATGTATAACACACAGGTTTGTTTGTTTGTTGTTAACTCTTCACCAACTCCGCAACCTCAACACACAAACATCACATGTATAACACACAGGTTTGTTTGCTTGTTGTTAACTCTTCACCAACTCCGCAACCTCAACACACAAACACCACATGAATAACACACAGGTTTGCTTGTTGTTAACGCTTCAACTCCACAACCTCAACACACAAACATCACAGGTATAACACACAGGTTTGTTTGTTTGTTGTTAACGCTTCACCAACTCCGCAACCTCAACACACAAACATCACATGTATAACACACAGGTTTGTTTGTTTGTTGTTAACGCTTCACCAACTCCGCAACCTCAACACACAAACATCACATGTATAACACATAGGTTTGTTTGTTTTCTGTTTAACGCCACACTCAGTAATATTCAAGCTACCGGTACATGACGGCCGCCTGTAATTAAACTGTCTGGACCAGACAATCCAGTGATTTATATGAGCAACAATCCACACTGTTGGGGGACAAAGACATGTAATTAACAAAGTCACCAAGCCTAAACACCCGATCGATCCATTTGGTCACTTCTTACACCAGCGTAGGTTGCTGGGGACCAATTCTAACCTGGAATCCCCACAGGGGAACACAACACGTTTATTTGTTTGTTGTTGAACAACACACTATGCAATATTCCAGCTATATGACGGCGGTCTGTAAATAATCGAGTCTGACCAGACAATACAGTGATTGATATCATGAGCATCGATCCACACAATTGGGATACGATGACATGCATCAACCAAGTCAGTGAGCCTGACCATCGGATCCTGTTAGTCGCCTCTTACGACAAGCATAGTCGCCTTTTACGGCAAGCATGGGTTGCTGAAGACCTATTCTACCCCGGATCTTCATGGGTTCACGTGTATTGTGGCATAGAGTATCGCGATGCACTCAGTGACCCTGCCTACGACAACACGTAGGCAGGGTCGTTCAGTACTAACTACTTAATGACTATATTGCACATATTCCAATTTTGTGCTACAGCGACTTAACGCAAGTCGTGGTTTTAAAAAGAAAAATAATATATATTGTCAATACCTCACTTCTCTTCGTTACATCAGTCTTAACAGAAATCGCAACTCCACCAAATTCAGCCATGCTTTTCTCGACTTCCCTCAGTTTATCCTCTCTCCTTGCTGCCATAGCAACCTTGGCGCCTTCGTGAGCCAGTGCCAGTGCAATGGCTGACCCTATGCCAGACGATGCTCCTGTTACTATGGCAACCTTTCCATCTAGAGCACCTGATCCTGTTTCCGGATGAAATAAGGAAGATAATTATCACACAGATGCAGTTTTATGGTTTACATAACCTTTTACCTTTTCTCAACGAAACCGACATAATATCATTCATGAAAGAATAAATTTCTCCATGAATAAATATATTCAATAACTTGCTTGGGGCCGGGCATTAAGGGGATGAAACAAGGACTGGTTGGCTCAAGAGTCAGTATACTGTGTCTGAGTGGGGTATCCATGTTAAACCATGGCATGGTATCTCAGTGGGCTAGCACTAGCACTGTAAAACCATCATTAGTCCAGACTGGCATGTGCATGCACGCACAATGCATTGTTCAGATTATTATTCATCTTTAAGTTCATTTGGATTTGAAATGTAAACAGAAAAAAATGACAATTTCTGAATTTTTAAGGTCGGCAAATCTATGAACAAACCAAAAACAAATGGCTTTAGATGAAATCTTATGTTGTTCTAGACCACCAAACACCCCTCTCTATAGAAAAAACAAAGAGGGGTGACCTTTGATCTAATCACTTGAACAATAATAATTAATTTTGAACATACAAAATGAAAAATAATATGAAGTTAAATTTTCTCCCAAAAAACAATTATGGACTCTTACAATTAATCAATGCATCAGAGTCAAGTGAAAATCACTAAAATTAACTCATGCGTTAAACAATAAATATGATACTTTAAACAATACCATATTTGTTCTAATATGCAACCCCTGACCAACTTCTAGTCAAATCTAAAAGTAATCATCATAAATGTGCCCTATACAGACTGAAAATGTACATGACAGTCCATAATATTTTGTGATTAATACAGACTTATTCTTACAGGCTACAGCAGCACAGAAAGAAAATATAGCGCTGGAATATAAGCAACTACTCTAAACAATACATTTAGAATCATCAGTGTTAGAACTATTGATAGTTTGTTCTCTACTGCTCAAATCTAAAAACAAATTGAACTCCACCCCCCTTTAATTTGCTACACACCAGGGGAACTTAGTAAGGTGAATACGGTAAGTGATTATTGTATTATCTACTCTATATGATCAGATATATCTGAGATAACACTTTTATTCAATATCAGGAATAGATGCCAGTGTTAAATCCCACTTGTTGAACATAGATTTTACGTAACGCAAGTCGAGGTTTAAGTATGTATGGGGTAATCATCTAAACCCTGAAGATGACATTGTGGGAACAGTGTCCTGATAGGTAGAGAACATTCCCATCGTGCTTACCCTCAAAATTGAAAATAAATAAACATTATTAGCATCATAGTATGTGTACATATTCCATGTCCAGGTTCAAGTATGCATGGGACAGTCATTTAAACCCTAAGATGATATTGTGGGAACAGTGTCTTGAGAGGTAGAGAATATTTCCTGTATGGGACAGTCATTTGAACCCTAAGATGATATTGTGGGATCAGTGTCCTGAGAGGTAGAGAACATTTACTTTGTACTTACCCTGGGGATTGAAAATGATTATTATTAGCATCATAATGTGTTTATATATTCCAAATCACATACATAAGCTGCAAAATTAAAACAGAAGTGAGAACTGTCATGCTGGAATGAATCTAACCCTTTGTGGAGGCAGTTTGGGCAGCCATGTCTCTGTGTCGCTTGCTAACAACTGTTATAGATGCCGGCTGTTGTACTACCAGCTTAATCTACAACGCTGCTGAACTTTTGAACTCTCCAAGCCAAACTGTGTCCCATATAGCATAGAAAAATAACATTACAAAGAGTTACTTCCCTTTAATTGGCTGAGAAAGGAGTATTGTCCTTGGAATGTCTTGAAAGTAAATTCCTTTGATACTAAAACGATTTCATCAGATTTCTTATGATATTATTGTTTTATTAGAATTTTCTTTTCTTTTCATCGACATAGCAAACATTTAAAGATATAACTATATTAGGGCTGGGACGGGTAACTCTACAACTTACTAATGTTAGCATTTCTTTCTGACTAAGCACCATTGCTTTTGACCTTTATAGGTTCGAATAAAAATATAACTTCTGTCAACTTCATTGTATGCACAACCAGAGCATTTTATACATGTATCTAAATACATTTTATCGGGGGGGGGGGGGGGGGGGGGTACCCGGGTAGTTAATTTGGACTCGTCCCAGCCCTAAACTATATTGTACATTGTACTTAATATGTCCAGACCATTACAATCTATCAACAGAGTGATGGCGCCCTAGAGTGCTCTACTAAATAAGAGAACATTTCATATGAATTTTCTATTTCACTTAATGCTTATTGAAAGGCAGTTGTGATGAATTTTACATACAACCCTCAAACGATATGAGCATTTTTAACCTAAAGAAAATGTTAACAGAAATACATATTTTTCAGTTGTTGCAGTGATGACTCTAATAATAGATGGTATTTTGATATACATGTACCAGTACCAGGTCCCCTGTACCTCCAGTTCAAGTGAGTGAGTATGGTTTTACCCCGCTTTTAGCAATATTCCAGCAATATCACGGCGGGGGGACACCAGCAATGGGCTTCACACATTGTACCCATGTCGGGAATCCAACCCAGGTCTTCGGCGTGACGAGCGAACGCTTTAACCACTAGGCTACCCGACCGCCCTCCAGTTCAAGAGCTGACTAAAACCGGGATCAGGTGATTAAGGCTTGGTGACTAATTATAATTGGCTCATGTCTTCAGTCACGCTGCCTAGCCAAGATTACTAACATGCAGCCATGATATACGTACAATATTGCTGATTGCAACACAAAAATCTCTGTTTGTTCATAAAAACAAAATATGACAACAGTGATTAGCAGAATACAACTGTCATATTTTTTATCATTTTCTGTAAAATCTCATTCTCTTAACTCATTCTTCCAAATGATATTCCAATATTCTGTTAATTGTAAGCTGTAATTTCAAACTTTATGAAAAATTTAGAAAGACTGTTTGTATGAGACTCGATCATTACCTGTAAGTGTCAACCGCTGACGTCTCTTCACGATAAGTTTGTTGTTGAGAAGGTTTGTGAAGTAGTGGTTGAGCAAGACACTATCGGTGTAGGCGTACGAGAGACCAAGTTGTGACAGCATGGACAAAAGACTGTCATTTGTATATGAGCTCAGCTTTTCAAAGAATGATGCATCTCTGAAAAATAATTAAACACAATAAGCAATTTACAGGGATGGAAATAGATGCTTACCTGCCATAACATTTCCCCTTATTGAAAATAGTTTTAAAATATAAACTGTAGTTTATTCTTACAAGTGTTTTTGTTATAGCTGAAACGAAGTAAAAGAATTACCGTATTCAACGTAATAAGCGCCCAGGGCGCTCTCATAATTAGAAATAGGGGGCTCTTATTAGAATATTATTTGGTGAAAAAAACAGTTGAAAGATAAATTTCGTGATTTATGCTGACAGCCTGAAATGTTTATGTATGACAGATATATGTTTCAAAAATTTAATTGCCGATAATAAAGGGTGCATATATCACACAGTGCGTATTATACGCGAATAGGGGAAGGAAGCGGTGCGTATTATATGCGAATAGGGGTCGGAAGGGGTGCTAATTGGAATTGTTCACTAGCCAATATATCAGCAAATCTCGCTGTGGGCGCTTATTAGAGCGGGGCGCTTAATATGTCGAATACGGTAGTCTCATAAACAACAGGAATATTGGGAATATACAATTTCCTTGAAATCAAATCTTTGCTATGATGTAATGACTCTCTGCATGAAGTTCATACTGGAGTAAATGATGGGACTTACTAAGGAGAATGTCCATAGCATTTTAGTTTCTAAGTTAATTAATGGGTCATATTTTTCATGATATATTATTTAGATGTGCCTGCATCAATTTTTCTAAAGGCATGCATAGCCTTAAGAACCAGTTATTCTTATTTTCCTGCATAATCATTAAATAGATTTAATTAATCCATAGAAAATCATCTTTTAAAAAAGACAATACGCAATAATATGATATACATATATTTACTGATTTATCAATAAAATCTTAAAACCAGCTGATCAATTATTCTTTATAAATTGCACTTGAATCAGCCAAATTAAGAAAAATTTCAATCTGCACTAGATATGCTTACGTGATGTATGTGTCCAGAAGCTGGGATAGCAGACCTGTCTGGTTGCTGTGACCGTTGGACTGTCCGAGAACAGCATCCCGCCATTCAGAGAAGGGGACAAACTTAAGGGAAAAACCATTGCCCTGCATCCGCTCAAACACCCATCTGGAAGTCAACACTATCAAGTTGTAAACATATGTTTTAAATTATAACATAAGATGCAACACCAATTAATGTCACCGCCTATGCAAGACGTAAATTTAAGTATACTTATCAGTAAAATTCCTCCTACAAGGTACAGATGTTGTAATGATTTCTTATTTATTTCTTCTTTTTCTCTCCAAACATTATACAAAAAGTGTCTGTTTACCCATACCTTGCTTTGATTAAGTTTTTCTTATTTATTTCTTATTTCTTTCCAAACATTAATCAAGTCTCTGTTTACCCATACCTTGCTTTGATTGGTTGTGTGTTGATAACATGGAATGTTTTCCCCATTACAGATGAAGGATTCTGGGTAATCTTAACAATGACTTTGGAAGCAAAATCCACAGGTGTCATTTCCATGTTCCAGTTCACTTCTGGAGCCAGTCCTAGTTTTGTACAAGCCTGCAGCACCAGCAGTGTGAAGTCTTGAGGGTTCCATTGTCCTGTTAGCCTGTCACCGGACAGGTTACCTGCAGCAACAAACTCTTAGCTAAAAGAGGTTCCCATTATGGATTCATGAAGTTGTTATGTGAGACCAATTTGTTTCACATGTGAACCTCAATGGATGTGGCACTGGTGATCCAGGTTGTCAAAGGCTCTGTAATTTTTTATGCAGCTGAACTGTGCCTGTAGGCTTCACAAAAGTGATCAACATCTAAAACCTTAACCTGATATGCCATATTCTAAGTGAATTATTGTTCAAAGCAGCATCAAACAAAACTCTCTCTCACTCATTCCAAAATGTTTTTCCAGAGTACAATGTAAAGGGAGATAACTTTACCTTCTCTGTAAATTCTGACTGAATAACTGTTCAAAGCTGCGTTAATCAAAACTGTCACTCAATCCAAATAAAGTCTCAGTAGATTGTCAAGGGAGATGACTCTACCTAATCTGTAAATTGTAACAGGCAGTCCCCTCTTTCCAGCTTTCTTCACCAGCTGCTCGGCAACCCATTTAGATTGTGAATATCCATCTTCCAAGTCGTCATGGTAACTTGATGCATCATCTTCTTCTGAACAACCCGCTAATCCATTCGGAAAAACTGCATCTGTGCTAAAATGACATAATTTTTTACACAAATGCGGATCACAAACAACCCCTAGTTTTGCTTATTGTCCGGTCTATCCAAACTCGACTGTTGGCAAGATGTTTAAAGGTTTAATGTAAATATACTCCTGAAAGAAATACAAACTGATAGACATGTTTTAAAGACAGTAGCAGATAAATGATACGTGAATACACATCAATATGATGTCATTTAAAATTGGTACCAATATAAACATGTTCTGATTGTACTCATCATAACACAGCAAAGATCACATGTATAACCAAACGTAACAATACAGAAAAATAACACCGCACGAGAAGCACAGGACCAGTCCACATGCATGGAAGCAGAACAACACCTTCAGAAGACTGGTGCACGAGAATTTCAGGCAGGTGTAGCCAGGTCATTCGATGTGTCTCTGAGCACCATTTCAAAGGCTGGATTATCCATTAGAATATTGTATAAATTTGATATTAGAACAACAGTTTATAAAACATCATGACTTCTAATTAATTAACCAGACAGAAAGAGACTTTTCCAGTCACGGGCTTCGAACAAGTGGCTACAGTCGGAGATTGCGTTATTTATGTCAAACTATATGGTGCGTTACCTGATGTAGTGGATGGGCTTTACTTTTCCAGTACAGGCAAACAGAATGATGTTGGCAGTGCCGAGAACATTGGGGCCATGGAGAGCCTGAGAACACACACACACACACACAACCATGTATATTTGTACAATCAACTCACCATAGAAAAAACACAAGAACCTTAAATTAGTCTGATTAAACTGAAGTTGAATGTTAAAGTGAAAATGATGATTATTCTAAATCACTGGGTGATTTATAATATTTTATAGTGCTAGTCCATAGATACCATACCGCAGCTTAAGACGAGCACACACACACTCAGTATATGGTGACTCTGACGAGCCGATCAGTCCTTGTTTTAGGTTTATATTATAATAACTGATATAAAAATATAAATATGGGACGTCACATCCTGGTAAGAATAGGTCTTCAGCAATCCCATGCTTGTCGTAAGAGGCTGTTGTTGTCGTTGTTGTTTAACGCCACACAATATTTCAGCTATATGACGACGGTCAGTAAATAGTAGAGTCTGAACCAGTCAATCCAGTGATTGACATCAAGAGCATCGATCCACGCAATTGGCATACGATGACATGCATCAACCGAGTCAGCGAGCCTGACTACCCGATCCCATTGGCCGCTTCTTACGACAAGCATAGACGCCTTTTACGACAAGCATAGACGCCTTTTACGACAAGAATGGGTTGCTGAAGACCTATTCTACCCGGGATCTTCACGGTTCTTAGGTACGTACACTATAGGGGTAGGCCAGGTTGACGATGGCGGCGGTGTGGATGATGAAGTCTATGTCGGTACAGAGGTATGTGTAGTCGTCCTCACTCATCCCCAAGTTTATCAAGGCCACGTTACCTGGGGGATGGGGTAGAACATGCAATAAGTGTCAATTAAAGCGACAGACCCTTTTCCATGTTCATAAGAAATTTCTACCAAAATCGATTGAACGATTTCAACTGTATCATGAGCAAGGAAAGATCTGATTATTACAGAATTTCTGCAAATATGAAAATTGAAGACAACCTTGACAAGATGAATTGTAAACTTATGCCGTAGTTGACAAAGGAGGTTCGTTCAAAGAAATGTGAGTTTATGAGGATCAGTATTTCAATGGCAATAGCAACTCCAGTTTAATGCTGATCCCTGAGGACTGACTTTACCATTCAATCTCAATGTTTCATTTGAGTACACTGAAAATACCATAGACAGACAGTTTTTTCAGTATTCAAGGCCTAAATTCAGTGATTAACCATACTACAAGGACCTTGAAATAGCTTTCCTTATTACTAGTATCACTAATATAAAAATGTCTCACATTTTTCATTTTCAGCAAAAACAAATATTCTCAACCAGTTTAAAAGACGTTTATTAAGATGTGGTGTGTCGAGGTGAAAAGTAGCGTTCAAGATTGTTCCACTTCTATAGCGTCGTGCATGCACGTGCGTGGCTGCTTATACTTTTATAGTGCTAGCCCACTGAGACACCATGCCGCAGCTTAACATGATTACCCTACACAGACACAGTATACTGACTCTGAGCTAACAAGTCCTTGTTTTAGCCCCTTAATGCCGAGCGCCAGGGTAACAACAAGTTCCATCTTTTAACGTCTTTTGGTATGACGCGGCCGGGGATCGAACCCCACCTTCACGCTCTCGAGCAGAGGCTCTACCACTAGAGCATGATGTACTATCTGTGATGAAGTTTGTTACAACATTACCTTTGATAACCGTGACTCTCCTGACGAGCATGGCTTCCACTTGTTTCTGCTCTTCTGTCGCCTCACTTTCAGATTTACCCAGAATGCCATACTTCCTCAAGGTTTCTTTTATTCTGTCAAGTGCCTCCACCTGCGGCAGTTCCCGTACCAGGCAGTATATCAGCAGCTGTTGAGAACGACATAGACATCCTTTCTGTAGAAAGTGCCAGCAAACTGTACATACCTTCTCACCCTACCCTTGGAAATTGTCCCATATTGTTTCACCCTTTGGGGCTGATATCTGTAAGTGTTTTAGTCAAGATTTGACACTACCAGCTATTACTTATGTCACAGTAGCGGGGCGATCGGGTAGCCTAGTGGTTAAAGCGTTTGCTTGTCACGCCGAAGACCCGGGTTCGATTCCCGACATGGGTACAATGTGTGAAGCCCATTTCTGGTGTCCCCCGCCGTGATATTGCTGAAATATTGCTAAAAGCGGCGTAAAACTATACTCACTCACTCACAGTAGCATAGGTGATATATTGATATGTATAAATTTGGAAAATGCCTAATGATAAGGACGCGATTGAATTTGGTTTTACAACCTTTGAACAACATTTCCATAACGTCGTAGAGAATTATCAATTTGGTGAATCCTACGAACATGAGTGTAATGCTAACAAGGACCATAAACACCATCTGTGATTCAAGCTATGATAGCCAGACCCTGGTACAGCTAAGGGAGGTAACTCTACGTAGGGACAATATTGGTTCAATAGTTGTGAGAATAATGTGATGTAGAATTGACTTGAAAAAAGTAGAAACTTTGCATTGTTTTCAGAAGCATGCTCTGTCAGATGAATTGTTTTCACTTTTAATCATCAAGATTAAGCTACACTTTCTTACTGAAGTGCAAGAACAGTAACATCTATTGCTATCAAGCTTTCCTTTCTCTAACATCCTAATTCCACAAATTACATTTATACTTTCCTAAAACATCGTCAGTGGATCATAAGTGAGTATTCTGTCTGGTAAGAAACATAAGTGACAGGTCCCAATAATCCAAGACAAATTAGAATCGCGACCAACCTTGGTACTCAGTAACAACTCTCTGAGTATAAATACTCCTAGGAATCCCGTTGCCCCTGTCAACAAGACTCGCCCCTTATGGAAATGATGGCGATGATGGAAGGTCCGCCAGAATGCACGCAGCTGAATGTCCAGACTGGAATACACATATCATACTATTAGATCTTGTTATCTCCAGCCCATATAACTCCACATACTGTTGAAGACGTGTAATTGTATCCTTACCGTAGAATCCACCTTTTTCGGATATCTTCCTTCTGCTTGTCTTAAACTATACACAAAACTTCATATAATTCGTTTTTCGAGGTACTAATATAGTTTCAATGTATGCATTAAATATGCTGATGAGGGTTGTGAAACATTTGTTTATTGTTTTATCCCACAGTCGCCAATATTCCAGCAACATCAGGGCGGGCAACAAAGCAGTAGCTGAAAGCATGAGCAACGATTCACGCCGTAGGGGAACGATGACACAATCAGATAAATCACAGAGCCCGACCGCCATTTCCATTTTATTCGACCCTTACCGACAGCATGCGGCAACAATGACCAATTCTAACAGGGGATAGAATAGAAAACTACTGCGTTTTACAAAAATACGAAATTATTTTTTTTAAAAGATCATGAAACCTATCAGGTTACCACTGTACCGTTGTGGTTTGCGGGTATTACGATACACGTCTGGAAAACTCGTTTTGCGTTCAGCCAGTATTCCGTCTTTTGGTGTTCCTTAGATCTGGGATTCGCCTGCTTCAGTCTTTTCTAATATAATCCAATTATTTGCAAAGTGTTTTTGTTTGGTTTAAAAACGTTTCGTATAATGTTTCAGTCATATTGTCATGGAAGATCTAGACGTTTATCGCGAGCACGGTTGTGGAGCTGACAAACCAAGAAACATATTCAAGGCATCGGATTCTGGCACGATTAAAGGGGGCGAATTGCTGCGCTGACCATATAAGTGTCTTGAGGTTGGACATCTGGGGTCACGGTCAGTCTCAGCAAGTGTACTTACTTGAGGACGCCCTGGTCGTGTTTCTCGACCTCCGTCTGGAGGTCCAGCTTGGGTCTCTGGGCGCAACACTTGGTGACGGTGTTGTTTAGTTTGCTGTCCAGCATGCGGCTCAGACTGTACACGGTGGGGTAGGAAAACAGGTCCTGTACAGCGATCCGGAAGCCGAACTTCTCCTGGATCACGTTCAGCAACTGGGCAGCGAGGAGGGAGTGACTGGAAGAGAACAGTGCCCAATTGCACAAAGTGATCCTAGCGCTTGCAACTCTCTTACTTTACCACTGACTTACGATAGCCGAAGCGCTAAGGTCGCTTTGTACAAACGGATCCAGAACATGTAGGTATGATGCCGGTATGATACGATGCTGATGCTGACATGAAAACACGTGAGGGTCGTAGATGACAGAGTTGGGAACAATACACATTGGTTCATTCACAGAAGAATATGGTAATGAAAGAGTAAGATGTGTGTAACGCCGCTTTGAACAGTATTCGGCTATGTCATTGGGTGTGGGAAGAAAGTCCCAAGTGATCCAAGTCTTGAACGTTAACCAATTTGGCGAAACACACGAGCACAGGTATAGTGCTGACATACCAAGTGTCCATATAAGGATGAATGCTAGATAAAGAACCTGTAGATGAAGGTAAAACTTATATCAAATTACCAAAACATTTTGCGAAAAGGGCAAGAAGAAAATGTTTAAGAAGTTGGAACAATAAATACCAAACTTACTGGTTGTCAATATCATTAAAACAAATCTTCTCCGAAGATCAGATGGCACCTCCATAAGATGTCGCGTCAGATAAACCCTGAGCGAACTTTGACCACCCAATCAAAATGAAGGAATCGTTAGTTGTTGAGCCAATCAGATTTGTAAAACGATTCGACTTAATTTCTTTACCACCTCGGTTCGGAAATTCCGATCTTAGCAAAACAAAACCGCCACAGAAAACAAATATACCCTTGATATAAAACCAATTTGGATGTAAATGCCATGGCGCTCTGAAACGACATAACAGCGCGGCTTTCTGGTTTGGCAATCGGAACTCTCCGGTCATATTCGTTTTAGAGATACAGCAATCAGATATGCTTGTATGGATGCTTCGCTCACTCGTACCAAGAATTTAGAAGCCTCGACACAGGTTGGCTGGTTAGAATGTTCTCGTGACATGACGTCCCCCATGCATAGAGGGATCGAAGTCAGAGGGGATATCTTTATCAGGTTGCACTGGTTGTCATGTCAATATCTTCGGTTATATTTTCAATTTATTTCCAATACTTGAACATTTGCACCTTGAATTTAATATACTATGCTATTTAAATAAACGTGAAATAAAATTGTTTACCCTCCCATATCAAAGAAACTCTCTTGAATGTCGATGTCCCGCATCTGCAGGACTTTACTCCAGATGTCTGCAACCTTGACCTCTGTTTCGGTTGTCGGGCGACCTTCAACTTCACCTTCCTCTGAATCCTGCTTCTCAAACGGTGGGAGTGACTTCTTGTCCAGCTTTCCTGTCGCTTTTACGATCGGAATACTGAGGGGAGGAATGAAAACCACACGTTTTAGTTCGGCAAAGGGAAACAGGAAAAGGCAGTGACAGAAACTATGTTGTTTTGAGGAATCCAGATCATGCCAATTGGACGCTGAAAGTTTAATGAATGGAGAGCAAAGTTATGCCATAGCTGGACAGTGTGTTCGTAACGTTGCTCTCCGATACATATTCATGAATATAATACCATTGTTATTATAGCATAACTATATGTTTCAGATATGTAAACTGACAAGCAAACGAAACTATGCCTACCAGTTGTTTTTATCATATGTTTGATTTACAGTTGCAAATATCTTAAGTCAGCGATATTATATCCTAAACATTAACTGTACTGGCGCTTAGTCAGCACTTCAACGTGGTTTTAGGTCTTTAAATATATATTGATTTAAATCGTCTATAAAATTAACCCCCCAAAAGCATAATACACATCATATCAAATGTCCATCATAGACATCTAATCTTTGAACACAATAAATTTGTTATTTTCGGCATTTTTATTTAAAACGTGGTTGCAAATTCATTTCTTACCCCCGTCTTCATTGAACCAATTTATTTTTATAAAAACATACCCAGCCATCACGGCCTACGGTGACATACGGATATGTCATGAAACTAAATTTATCTACCTCACTTCACCTGCATCCCCAGCTGCAAGGTGGTCGAATATTATGTAGAGGGGAATGTCCGAGTAACTCTCCATTCCTTAAAAATAATGGAGCAGAGGCCCCGCAGGGGCCGAGGCCCATTATTTTTAAGGAATGGAGAGTTACTCGGATATTCCCCTACTTAAATTATATTTTATGTGACTTGGTATAACGCGTCTTTATACATTCCCTACACCCTAATGCAGGAATGTGATGACATCACTTCAAAATTATTGCGAAAACGATTACATTTTAAAATAACAATCGGTTAGAAGCGGTCCCTCGTTAAGTGACTCACAACAACCAGCGTCACGCTGTAGGCCGTACCCGCTTAACATGTACACAACATGTAACACGTGCACTTAAACAACAACTCTCCATTACTTGGGATAAACTATTATCATAAGGTGATACAATCAGGTGAGTAGTGGACAGATTATAACAAAGATTACATGAAGACTTGTTGACTAATAATATTAGTGTGACAAAGTGCTTTGTTTATTATTGCTGAATATATTGGGAGAATGTTTAATTTTAAAAATTATAGGTTTGAAGGTGTTGATGTGCTCTCTACTTTCCTCTGGCTGTAATCGTATCGTCCGTACCCGTGGATATATATTTGCTTTTCACGCTGAATTCTGCCTTTTCCGGTCTGCTAGTTAATGTAGAAATGTCAGACGAAGAGGATCTCTTCATTACACAGAGTCGGACCTCTGTCCCCCCAAAAGACAGTAGTAGGTTAGACAACTGTGGGGTTTTGTCTGCTTGTGGAAGTACTAGTTTCGAGAGGCCGTATTTTGAATTGTTTTCGGACATAAGTGACACTGAACTCGTATCAACTTGTGAAAAGGCTGAACGAATTTGTGAACAACCAACTCTCGAGTTTTCTGACATAAGTGAGGATGAGCTGACAGCCACGTGCGAAGCTGCTGCGACGGCTACGGACAGTGTACTTTCTGCTATGTCGTCCAGGTTTGGGGTGCCTAAATCGGATGAAGAAATCATGTCCTTTGGACATAAAAGGTACGTTATTCAGTACCGTAGTATATTGTAAGTATTAGGCAATGACGTCGTCGTAATAGAATGATTACAATACTCCATTAATATGAACGTTATGTTTATAGAATTGTGCGCAAATAGCAAATATGGAACGTTAAATCGTCAGCAAACACGTGGTGCATTTCGTTCATTTTTATCATTAATATGGCTTGTTAAAGAAATTAGGTTAATTTGTTAGAATGATGTACACATATATTCCACTTGTTCACATTTCAAATTGAAGCGGTATGGTAGCCCGAACGTTATTGGTGTAGTATTTGATGCTCGTTTTGTTTCTACTACCACTCAGTGTTTTCAAACACCTCCATTACGATAAATCCTTATGCTCGCATTCCTCACTCCCCCCCCCCCCCCCCCCCCCCCCCCACACACACCACCCCAACCTCCACCACACACACACACACACACACACACACATCCCACGCTCCAACCCTTGACGCTCGCATACCAACATCCTATCATATCCAATCGTAGTTGATATGTATTGTGACGGACGAGACAAAAGCTAACGCTGCTTTCCTTAATCCCGCAATAAGTGGGTGCAGCATGAGAATTTCTCCTCGCCTCACACCACCTAACGCTGCTTTCTTTATCCCGCAATAAGTGCGTGCAGCATGGGAATTTCTCCTCGCCTCACACCACCTAACGCTGCTTTCTTTATCCCGCAATACGTGGGTGCAGCATGAGAATTTCTCCTCGCCTCACACCACCTAACGCTGCTTTCTTTATCCCGCAATAAGTGCGTGCAGCATGGGAATTTCTCCTCGCCTCACACCACCTAACGCTGCTTTCTTTATCCCGCAATAAGTGGGTGCAGCATGAGAATTTCTCCTCGCCTCACACCACCTACACTCACATATTGTATGTGATACATTACAACCCCAAACCCTTGTCAGTTTCCTCACTGTCCTGACATATACTTGTGTTCAGAATTATTTAAGCATCATTATTTCTTTTGTATTTCAGATTTGCTGACAGTACCATGACGAAAATTAGATGGTCAGTTAAAAGTTTTAAGGACTGGCAGACGCACAGGAACAGATTAGCAGATGACTGAAACATAAGTCATATTTTCACAGAATTGGAAGATATGACCCGCGATGAACTGAACTACTCGGTCTCCTGTTTTATTTGTGAGGTAAAGAAGTTAGACGGCTCGGACTATCCTCCAGATACACTGTACAGTTTTGTCATCTGCATTCAGCTGTACTTGGATACGCTTGACAAGTGCTACAAACTACTAACTGATGACTCGTTTTCCCAGATTCGGAATACTGTGGATATGTGATGAAAATCAAAAGCAAAACCTGCAAACAGAAGAAACAAGCACAGATTATTACACCGGAAGAAGAAGACGTGTTATGGTCAAAAGGCTGTTTAGGAAGTGACAAACCTTCCCAGTTGCTAGACACAATGGTATATCTGATTGGTATGAACTTTGCACTACGTGGTGGACAGGAACATAGAAACTTGCGCAGAGGATCATTTTCACAATTTGAGATCTGTGAAAGTCAACATGGACGTTATCTTATGTACACTGAACAAACTTCGAAAACAAACAGTGGTGGACTGAAACATCGCAGACTGGACAACAAACGAGTTGTTGCGTACGCAAATGTGGACAGGCCTGGTAGATGTAAGACAGCCTTTTTGGGGTGATCCCAATAACTGTCAGGCCTCGGTTTGGGGAATTAGCTATTGGGAGCTAGCCTTGAAACAAGAGAGAAGAGAGCTGTGAGGTCCTTAGGGTTTATTCAAGCAAGTGTCTATATCATTCAAGTTACATCAATTAATATATTATAGTGACATACAATGATAATAATGATAATGATATGCTAACACAGTGTCCGTCTCATAAAGGCATAATAATAAAAGCAATGGAATTAATATTGGAGTATGTACGGTAACATTATACAACAGATGCGGTATTTACTAGTATAAAAACGGTAATGCCAAATAACATTTCTTAAAAGCTAAATTGAGAAGTCGTAACATTTTAATAGAACATGTACGGTAGACTGCACCAACTGCTTAGATGAGGAACATGACATTTACTTATGAAAAGACGGTAAACATTAATATTTGTAGTTTCAGTAATAATTATCACAACATAATAATTTCGGCTAATACGGAAGGTAAATACTTGATCTAAATAAAGATACGAATGTACGCGGTAGAAGACATAGCTCGGTTTTAGTTAGTGTAATTATTAGTTTTAGTGGTGATTACTTTGGTGACTACGGTAATGAATCACGGCGGCTATGTTGCTATTGACTACGCACATTTCCTGTATATATACGGAGCTAGCTAATGGAGTGAATACGGCAATTGTATACCTAAACGATGCGCGTTTAAATGTACCTTGTTATGAAGTATAAAAGATGACTATAACACTATTTAAATGACTACGGTAATAAAATTGTAGTATAGGTTGTGTTGTAGCGTATGCAACTATATGAGGAAAGGGACTCTTTACAATATATTCAAATACTTACTTAATGAGGATAAAACCTAAGAAATATGGAATGCGTTGTTATAGCCTATTCTGTAAGCGCACACGGAAGGTAAAGCTGCTCATATAACCTTTGATCGGTGGACTGTCGGAAAATATGGACTAACCGACCTACGTATAGAATAAATCGCTACGCTACCTGCACTGTATATGCATCTGGCATTTTGAACAGATGATGTTAGACATAGAAGGGGAATATAATCATGGATGTCGAAATATAGGAGAGAACTATTGGTGCCGCATATTAATGACACATAAACTGGAGGAGCCCACGACGCATTACACTTCAAATAACACTGGGAAGTTACTGTGTATTAAACAGTAAATACTATATATAATGAGCAGTCATTTAGAACTTGTACACAGTAGATTGAGAGTTACAATATGGCAGTACTGATTCAACTTAACTATAACATTTTCTAGACAATAATAACAATGAAATAAGAAGTTTAGTCATAAAATAGGAAAATTTAAATGTTTCTTACCTTGAAACAAGAGAGAAGAGAGCTGTGAGGTCCTTAGGGTTTATTCAAGCAAGTGTGCTGAGGACCAACACCCAAGGAGTTATATACACCCACAGCTCTACTCTTATCACATTAACAATTACTTTGAAGTTGTAATTTCGGTCTCTGTTATCTGCCCTGGGCTGTCAAAGTTGACTACACAAAAGCTGGTGGTAATAGAATGGTATCAGTATTGCCTAAGAAGAGTTTTTTTTAATTACAGTTTAAGATGGTGGTCAAAACCTGCGCCAGCTGGTAACAAAACATTTATCAAGAGAACAAGGGCCGGGGCGGACGTACGCGCCGACTTTATCTATGATTACGTAATTTACTGTTCGCGTGAATGAGCTTGCCAAGGAGCAGCCGTCATGGTCGACCAGTGGCGATAAAAACGAGAAATACTGGTCTAGCGACTTTCGAATTTTAGAATTTCCCAGTTTAAGTTTAATTTGTTTAAAATATAAAAAGTGTAATGAAATATATGCACTGTAACAATACCCCTGTGCGTCGTGGAGCTTTTGTCCTCAAAAGCCAAAAGAAAAGGATTAAAATGAAGCGAATATACATAGATAATCAGAATACAATGATACAATAGATTACGTTGGACATGAACAAATGTGTGCATGAAGATAGTTTGATCAGTTGAAAACATAAGGCACACGATTTCCATTACAAAGATTCTGAAACATACCTACATATTAAACTACAAGAAAAATGACAATTTGAAGTAATGAACAAGCATTTCTGTGAAAAGGAAACCGGTTAACAAGAACATACATAATATGAGGAAAGGTTGTTGTGTGATGAGGGAGTTTTTAGCGTTCCCCAACAATTTGCCCTTACACTGTCAAACATTTCACATCACGCTAGGTCTACGATTGAAAGTATCCGTTGTGAAATATTAGGATATAGGTGGCAAAGGGGTGCTTAAAGAGTTTGTGAATGTGCGGGAAGTGAGGCACCAGAAGGAGGTTGGATGTGCAAATGGGAAGGACACAGAGTGAGTGGAAGAATTGGAATTGTGGCACACTCAAGTCTTGGAGAAGACAGTTGAGATTTTGAGACAAGGATGAGAAATGCTGCCCAAGGAACAGCCAAGATTCCTAACGAGTGGAGACATTGTAGTCCGTTAAGGTGGTGATGACAACGAGAAATTAACGGTAGTTGACGTGTACATATCATAGTTAGGGATTGGAGGCAAAGCAAGTTCACTCAGGACAGGAGGCACGAATATCAGCCGAACTCAAGGATAGTGGCTCTCCATGATGGACCAAAGACAAAAAGAAACCAAAGTACAAGTCAGATGGGATGACCATTGATGCAGGAAAGTTGTGGCCACAACATTTCACTGCGTAGCACTTATAGAACACAAGGCAATTTGATTACCTGTAGGGGGTGGTCAGAGCTCATCTACCTTGACAAATGATGACTTGTTGCCAGGAGGAATAGCATGGAAGGTCAAGACCTATGATTTTGCAAAATATCTGTGTTTCCGTTTCCGTCTGTGACCAGATCCTGTTCTAAATGTATGGTAATCACTTATCATTTCCGCACTAAGGTTGGAGGCAGGTTCCCAGGTGCGTTGGGGGTAACCTTCCCATTCAATTAGGTAATGAGTTACTCCTGACTTCTTTTTAGCTTTGTGTATGCGTTTTACAGCATAAAGTTGATCATCTGGTTGGGCAGATGATGTGGGACTCTGTGGAATAGTGTCAGAGTTATCAGACGAGTGAGGTAGCATAATGGGATGCTCCACGGAAGTGTGCTGTGTTGTGGTAGGGTTGTCAGGATGGGAGGATGTTGACTGAGTTGGAGTTGATTGATGCTGGGCTGTTTGTGAGGCTTCTCTACGAGGATTGTCGGGCTGGGAGGCCGTCGACTGAGTGGGTGTTGCTAGATGCTGAGCTGGTTGTGCAGTTTGTCTTCGAGGGGTTGGAGGTGTATAAGTTTTAAGTCTGTTGGCATGAATGAAGGATTTATGTTCTTTGTTTGTGTTAGTGTTCAGTAGTTTGAATGTATGGTTTAGACCGATGCGAATGATTCTGTAAGGTCCTATCCATTTCTTTGACAGTTTGGGGGAAAGGCCAGTTTTGAGTTGGATCAGTCATGAGAACCTGATCACCAACTGCAAATGAAGGTTCCTTGGCTCTGACATCCTGAAGATTCATGCTTTTATCCTGAGCAGCAGACATGTTGTCCTTTGCAAGGGATTTTGCAACATTCAGATTTTTCAAGAGATCTTGAAGATGACCCTGTGCATCTTTGCCGAGGGTAGATTTAGGCAGCAAGGTTGTGTCAAAAGGAAGATTCATTTCCTTTCCAAACAGAAGGCAGTGTGGTGAATACCCTGTAGATTGACAAGGTACATTGCGCATGGCCATCATAACACATGGAATGAGTTTGGCCCAATTGGTCTGATCAGGGTCAGCATATGTTCGGAGAGCCTGCTCTATGACACTGTTCCTCCTTTCACACATCCCATTAGTCTGGGGGTGGTAGGACGAAGTGTAGTAGTGCTTGATATCGAGGAGTTCACAGAGAGCATTTACTAGCTTGGAAGTGAACTGCCTACCTCTGTCAGTAAGAAGAGTACGGGGAGCACCAAACCGTGAGAAAACCTCAGTGAACAGGATTGATGCAACCTCGGAGGCTTCTTGAGTGCTCTTGTTGGCTGAGTGAGAATTAGCATGTTGGAGAGAAGAGGCAGTCGAGGGTGTAGGCCTCTTGTTGCCTGCATTGGGATTGGCGTAATGGCAAGAATGAGCAGTCGAGGGTGTAGACCTCTTGTTGCCTGTATTGGGATTGGCATAATGGGAAGAATGGGCAGTCGAGGGTGTAGACCTCTTGTTGCCTGTATTGGCATTGGCATAATGGTGAGAAGTGGCAGTCGAGGGTGTAGACCTCATGTTGCCTGCATTGGGATTTGCATAATGGTGAGAAGTGGCAGTCGAGGGAGTAGGCCTCGTGTTGCCTTGGTGATGAGGAAATGACACTTTGGGGCTGCTTGATGGTGACATCAAATGTGAAGTTGGAGTGGGTAAGAGTGGAGATGAAGCAGTGGCAGCTACTTGTGCATATGTGTGGGTTGATGAGATGGGTTCTGTTGAAATGGGTGGGGAGGGTATTTTGTCAGTGTTCGGTTGATGTTCTTGCTCTGCATGAGGAATGCGAGATAAGGCATCTGCATTTGTGTTGGCTTTGCCTGGCCTGTGTATGATCTCAAAATCATACTCTTGCAGCATGAGGGACCATCTACTAAGGCGACCAGAGTCATGTTTGGTTTTCTTAAGCCAAGTCAGAGCTTTGTGGTCTGTGTAAACAGAAAATGATCCATTTGCAAGGTACACCCTGAAGTTTTTAATACCTTCTAGGACGGCCAGGCATTCTAGATGTGTGATACCCCAATTCTTTTCAGCAGTATGGAGAGAGCGGCCGCCATAACATATTACATGTTCTCTACTTTGAGGATCAAGTTGGCCTAAGATGTACCCTATTGCAGTTTGTGATGCATCAGTTGTGAGGATGAAGGGTTGGTTTTGGTCAGGGTATGCGAGGATAGGTGCAGTTGTAAGGGCATGTTTTAGCTTTTCAAATGCCTGTTGACAATTGTATGACCATTCGAAAGATGCATCTTTTTTAAGAAGATTGTAAAGAGGGGAGGCAATGCCCGAAAAGTTTGCTACAAATTTCCTATAATATGATGCCAAACCTAGGAAATGGCGCACGTCATGGACATTTTTAGGAGGTGGAATCTGTGTGACTGAATCTATTTTGGAAGGATCAACATGGATGCCATCTTTGCTGAAGATATGCCCTAAGTAGGTAACTTGTTTTGTCGCGAATTTACATTTGCTGGGTTTTAGAGTGAGGCCTGCTTCACTGATCTTTTGGAATACTGCCTTGAGGTGATTCAGATGTTCAGAAAAGGTTTTAGAAAATATTATTATGTCATCGACATATATCAATATGTAACGCCAATTCATCTCTTTTAGTGCCTCTGAAATGGTTTGCTGAAATGCCATAGGAGCATTTTTGAGGCCGAAAGGAAGGCGATTCCATTCAAAAACACCATCAGGCGTAATGAAGGCGGACTTGTTTTTTGTATCTGGGTGGAGTGGTATTTGCCAAAAGCCACTAGCACAATCAAGCACACTAAAGATTTTGGCATGGCTGTCACCTGCGGCATCAACGACATCTTCAAAACGTGGCAGAGGAAAAAATATAGGCTTAGTAACTGCATTGAGGCGTCTATAATCTACGGCAAAGCAGTAAGAGCTGTCACGTTTCTTAACCATGACAACAGGTGAGTGCCACTCAGAAGAACTAGGTTGAATGATATTGGCATCTAACATTTCTTTTACCTGTCTTGAACATTCTTTTCTAATGGCTGCGTTTTGCCTGTAAAAAGGGAGTCTAATCGGTCTGGCATCACCTGTTTCTATTCTGTGTTGATGTAAGTGGGTGTGTCCTAATTCTGACCAATCTGAGGCAAAAACTGACCTTTGTGATTGGAGAAATGCACGTAAATGTGTTTGTTGTTCATGTGTGAGGTCTGCATCACTAAGATCAAAGTCAATGTCCTGTGAATGTGTTGTGTTAGCACTTGTAGTAGTAGGAGGATCAGAATCAGAAGTGTCAGGAAGGTCAAGGACAGATGTGGGGTCAATCTCTGAGGCTACAGTAACCACTGTTTTTGAATATAAAGTGACATGGCTGTCACTCGCATTAAGCAATCTCATGCAAGCTGATTTTGGATTGTTGGTTATAAGGCACTTAGCACCTTGGAGCTGCATGTCATTTAATGCCGGAACTGGTTCAAGAAGAAAAACTTGACCTTGTTGACAATGAGAAACTTTGATGGGAATGTCAGCTTGAGAGTGTGGAGGAATAATTACAGCCTTGCATGGTCTTGCGTAGCCTCCATTGATTGATGCCAGAGAGACTGAAACAAGACCTTCGTGTATGTGAAGACATTTTGAGGGCAGGTCTATAGTGACTTTGTTTAATTCAAGGAAGTCAATGCCTAATTTGAGAGAGTGATGTAAGTTGTGAAAGACATGAAAGATTTGGGGGAGGTAGATATGCCCTATGTTAATGTCAAGAGAGACAGAACCTAGCACAGAATGTTTTTCACCACCTACACCTATGATTTCAGTTAGGTGAGATGGGCGTAAATGAGAGGGTTTGATGCCAACTTTATTTAAGTAGCCCATGCTGACACAGCTAACTGATGCACCTGTGTCAACAAGAGCTGTAGTTCTCACTTGTTTAACCTTGACATGAACAGTGTTCTTTGTCAAGGGAGCAACAAGTGATACAAAGGCTGACTCTTGCCTGACCCCAGAACGCTGAGTATCAGGTATGAGTCCCTGTGGCTGTTGATATTGTGCATAGTATGCGCGCATGCATACCTTTGCATGGTGACCTATGCGTGAGCAATAATTACAGACTGTATTTCTATGAGGGCAATTGTGAGGGAACCGAAAAAACTCACCACATCCGCGACATCTGCCTCGAAGGTGCTGTGGAATTGGCAGACTTTGACTGTTGCTGGAGCTGTACGGGTAGAAGGATGGCGTCTGTTGTTGTTGCTGTGCTGTGTGGTGGGGCTGAGGTGGTGGAACTGGATACTCCTTCTGTGGTGGCTGATAGTGCTGTGGTGGTTGATATTGTTCCTGCCGTATCTGGTATTGATGTTGTAGTGGTTGGTACTGCTGTGGTGGTGGTTGGTATGGTTCCTCTGGTGACTGGTATGGTTCCTGTGGTGACTGGTATGGTTCTTGTGGTGACTGGTATGGTTCCTGTGGTGACTGGTATGGATCCTGTGGTGGTTGGTATTGTTCCTGTGGTGGTTGGTACTGCTGTGGTGACTGGTATGGATCCTCTTGTGGTTGGTATGGTTCCTGTTGTGGTTGCTGGTGGTATCTTGGTGATGGGGAGGGTGGCTGTTGCTGGACCTGGGGCTCGTGCTGCTGATGGTGGGATGAGGGAGTTGCTGATTGTACAGCACAGACCTTGTTTGTAGTGATCAGCATGGTCACCAAGTTCGTTAATTGCTCAACTTGTTGGACCAAGCTGACCTCTTCCTTGCTTGGGGCCTGCGATTGTACAGCCAGTTGGGCATGGTGACGAACCTCATCCAGGGTCAATGGCTCCTTCATATACACCCACTGCTTAATCTGTGGGAGTAGCCCATTGATGGCAATGGCTACTATCACAGATTGTGGTAAGCAGGAGTGTAACGTGGATGCTTTGACCCTGGTGATGAAGTCTCCAACGTCCTCCTGTTTCTTCTGTGTCATATCAAGAAGACTCAAATTGAAGGCTGATGAACTGCGAAATCGTTGCTGAAAGGCCGCTTTCAGCAAGTGGATGTCAAGCTGTGTGTGCGCAGGCAGGTCCCTGAACCATACTTTAGCAGCTCCGTCCAGGTAGAAGGGTAGAATTCTACAGGATTGGGTGTCTGTGTGACCATGGAGGAAGTTGAAGTTGTAGAAATCTGCCCACCAACTTTCAGCATCCTGCTGACCTGTGTATGTGGGGAGATGTATCTGTGCCATTACTGGGGGTTGTTGCTGGGTAAGATGAGACTGACTGTGTTGTTGCTTCTGTAGGGGACGATGGTGTCAGCAGGCATAGTGTGGTGTCAAGCCGTGGAGGTGGTGGTGATAGTGTGGAGTCAGGTACAGGTAACGTCACAGTCTCAACTTGTAGTTCACAAGGCTGGCTCCAGGCACCGAGGATCGAACGTCTCCACCAATTAAGACAGCCTTTTTGGGGTGATCCCAATAACTGTCAGGCCTCGGTTTGGGGAATTAGCTATTGGGAGCTAGCCTTGAAACAAGAGAGAAGAGAGCTGTGAGGTCCTTAGGGTTTATTCAAGCAAGTGTCTATATCATTCAAGTTACATCAATTAATATATTATAGTGACATACAATGATAATAATGATAATGATATGCTAACACAGTGTCCGTCTCATAAAGGCATAATAATAAAAGCAATGGAATTAATATTGGAGTATGTACGGTAACATTATACAACAGATGCGGTATTTACTAGTATAAAAACGGTAATGCCAAATAACATTTCTTAAAAGCTAAATTGAGAAGTCGTAACATTTTAATAGAACATGTACGGTAGACTGCACCAACTGCTTAGATGAGGAACATGACATTTACTTATGAAAAGACGGTAAACATTAATATTTGTAGTTTCAGTAATAATTATCACAACATAATAATTTCGGCTAATACGGAAGGTAAATACTTGATCTAAATAAAGATACGAATGTACGCGGTAGAAGACATAGCTCGGTTTTAGTTAGTGTAATTATTAGTTTTAGTGGTGATTACTTTGGTGACTACGGTAATGAATCACGGCGGCTATGTTGCTATTGACTACGCACATTTCCTGTATATATACGGAGCTAGCTAATGGAGTGAATACGGCAATTGTATACCTAAACGATGCGCGTTTAAATGTACCTTGTTATGAAGTATAAAAGATGACTATAACACTATTTAAATGACTACGGTAATAAAATTGTAGTATAGGTTGTGTTGTAGCGTATGCAACTATATGAGGAAAGGGACTCGTTACAATATATTCAAATACTTACTTAATGAGGATAAAACCTAAGAAATATGGAATGCGTTGTTATAGCCTATTCTGTAAGCGCACACGGAAGGTAAAGCTGCTCATATAACCTTTGATCGGTGGACTGTCGGAAAATATGGACTAACCGACCTACGTATAGAATAAATCTTGCTTGAAACAGTTGTGTTAACTCTAGGAACCGTTTTGTGACTAAGCTACATGTACGCTACGCTACTGCACGGAAATATAAACTGTATATGCATCTGGCATTTTGAACAGATGATGTTAGACATAGAAGGGGAATATAATCATGGATGTCGAAATATAGGAGAGAACTATTGGTGCCGCATATTAATGACACATAAACTGGAGGAGCCCACGACGCATTACACTTCAAATAACACTGGGAAGTTACTGTGTATTAAACAGTAAATACTATATATAATGAGCAGTCATTTAGAACTTGTACACAGTAGATTGAGAGTTACAATATGGCAGTACTGATTCAACTTAACTATAACATTTTCTAGACAATAATAACAATGAAATAAGAAGTTTAGTCATAAAATAGGAATATTTAAATGTTTCTTACCTTGAAACGAGAGAGAAGAGAGCCGTGAGGTCCTTAGGGTTTATTCAAGCAAGTGTGCTGAGGACCAACACCCAAGGAGTTATATACCCCCACAGCTCTACTCTTATCACATTAACAATTACTTTGAAGTTGTAATTTCGGTCTCTGTTATCTGCCCTGGGCTGTCAAAGTTGACTACACAAAAGCTGGTGGTAATAGAATGGTATCAGTATTGCCTAAGAAGAGTTTTTTTTAATTACAGTTTAAGATAGTGGTCAAAACCTGCGCCAGCTGGTAACAAAACATTTATCAAGAGAACAAGGGCCGGGGCGGACGTACGCGCCGACTTTATCTATGATTACGTAATTTACTGTTCGCGTGAATGAGCTTGCCAAGGAGCAGCCGTCATGGTCGACCAGTGGCGATAAAAACGAGAAATACTGGTCTAGCGACTTTCGAATTTTAGAATTTCCCAGTTTAAGTTTAATTTGTTAAAAATATAAAAAGTGTAATGAAATATATGGACTGTAACAATACCCCTGTGCGTCGTGGAGCTTTTGTCCTCAAAAGCCAAAAGAAAAGGATTAAAATGAAGCGAATATACATAGATAATCAGAATACAATGATACAATAGATTACGTTGGACATGAACAAATGTGTGCATGAAGATAGTTTGATCAGTTGAAAACATAAGGCACACGATTTCCATTACAAAGATTCTGAAACATACCTACATATTAAACTACAAGAAAAATGACAATTTGAAGTAATGAACAAGCATTTCTGTGAAAAGGAAACCGGTTAACAAGAACATACATAATATGAGGAAAGGTTGTTGTGTGATGAGGGAGTTTTTAGCGTTCCCCAACAATTTGCCCTTACACTGTCAAACATTTCACATCACGCTAGGTCTACGATTGAAAGTATCCGTTGTGAAATATTAGGATATAGGTGGCAAAGGGGTGCTTAAAGAGTTTGTGAATGTGCGGGAAGTGAGGCACCAGAAGGAGGTTGGATGTGCAAATGGGAAGGACACAGAGTGAGTGGAAGAATTGGAATTGTGGCACACTCAAGTCTTGGAGAAGACAGTTGAGATTTTGAGACAAGGATGAGAAATGCTGCCCAAGGAACAGCCAAGATTCCTAACGAGTGGAGACATTGTAGTCCGTTAAGGTGGTGATGACAACGAGAAATTAACGGTAGTTGACGTGTACATATCATAGTTAGGGATTGGAGGCAAAGCAAGTTCACTCAGGACAGGAGGCACGAATATCAGCCGAACTCAAGGATAGTGGCTCTCCATGATGGACCAAAGACAAAAAGAAACCAAAGTACAAGTCAGATGGGATGACCATTGATGCAGGAAAGTTGTGGCCACAACATTTCACTGCGTAGCACTTATAGAACACAAGGCAATTTGATTACCTGTAGGGGGTGGTCAGAGCTCATCTACCTTGACAAATGATGACTTGTTGCCAGGAGGAATAGCATGGAAGGTCAAGACCTATGATTTTGCAAAATATCTGTGTTTCCGTTTCCGTCTGTGACCAGATCCTGTTCTAAATGTATGGTAATCACTTATCATTTCCGCACTAAGGTTGGAGGCAGGTTCCCAGGTGGGGGTAACCTTCCCATTCAATTAGGTAATGAGTTACTCCTGACTTCTTTTTAGCTTTGTGTATGCGTTTTACAGCATAAAGTTGATCATCTGGTTGGGCAGATGATGTGGGACTCTGTGGAATAGTGTCAGAGTTATCAGACGAGTGAGGTAGCATAATGGGATGCTCCACGGAAGTGTGCTGTGTTGTGGTAGGGTTGTCAGGATGGGAGGATGTTGACTGAGTTGGAGGTGATTGATGCTGAGCTGTTTGTAAGGCTTCTCTACGAGGATTGTCGGGCTGGGAGGCCGTCGACTGAGTGGGTGTTGCTAGATGCTGAGCTGGTTGTGCAGTTTGTCTTCGAGGGGTTGGAGGTGTATAAGTTTTAAGTCTGTTGGCATGAATGAAGGATTTATGTTCTTTGTTTGTGTTAGTGTTCAGTAGTTTGAATGTATAGTTTAGACCGATGCGAATGATTCTGTAAGGTCCTATCCATTTCTTTGACAGTTTGGGGGAAAGGCCAGTTTTGACAGTTGGATCAGTCATGAGAACCTGATCACCAACTGCAAATGAAGGTTCCTTGGCTCTGACATCCTGAAGATTCATGCTTTTATCCTGAGCAGCAGACATGTTGTCCTTTGCAAGGGATTTTGCAACATTCAGATTTTTCAAGAGATCTTGAAGATGACCCTGTGCATCTTTGCCGAGGGTAGATTTAGGCAGCAAGGTTGTGTCAAAAGGAAGATTCATTTCCTTTCCAAACAGAAGGTAGTGTGGTGAATACCCTGTAGATTGACAAGGTACATTGCGCATGGCCATCATAACACATGGAATGAGTTTGGCCCAATTGGTCTGATCAGGGTCAGCATATGTTCGGAGAGCCTGCTCTATGACACTGTTCCTCCTTTCACACATCCCATTAGTCTGGGGGTGATAGGACGAAGTGTAGTAGTGCTTGATATCGAGGAGTTCACAGAGAGCATTTACTAGCTTGGAAGTGAACTGCCTACCTCTGTCAGTAAGAAGAGTACGGGGAGCACCAAACCGTGAGAAAACCTCAGTGAACAGGATTGATGCAACCTCGGAGGCTTCTTGAGTGCGCATAAGGAAACCTTCAGTCCAGCGTGAGAAGGAATCAACTGCAAGGAGAACATACTTATAACCTTCCTTAGTCTCAGGCAATGGCCCAAGGATGTCAACATGGAGACGAGAGAATGTGTCCTCAATAGGCATGGGCACCATTGGTGCTGGCTTGGCATTTGTCCTTCTTTTGGAGCGTTGGCAGTCATCACAGGACTTGACATAATTCTCAATATCCTGGTATAAGCCTGGCCAGTAATACTTTGTGAGTATTGTCTGACGAGTGGCATCTCGTCCAAAGTGGCAACCACCAGCTTTGGAATCATGGTAGGCAAAAAGAAGCTCTTTGCGACAGCAGACAGGGACAGCTAGCTGTGTTACCATAGGAGGGCGATTGTTTTTCTGACCTCGATGCTTTGCATGATAGAAGTGGTACAGAATACCATCACGTATGTCATACTCTTGAGCAAGGCCAGTTAGACCCTTGACTTGAACATCTGTATAGGTGGAAGGAATTTCACCTTTTTCAATGTAGTCCATGATTGGACAAAGGTCAGGGGATTTACGTTGCTTTTCTGCCAAGTCTTTATCATCAAGATCAGTTCCTATAGCAAAGACCATAGGGCCTGAAGGAGGATCGTGAGGACACGACTTGTAGACAAAGTCTACAGATATAGAGGATGTTATGTCATCTCTACTGATATCTTCTGATGAGACACTGTGTGAGTCAAGAGTGTCATTGTCAATGTTTGTATGCTTTGGAAAGTTGTTTTGTGGAGATGAGCATGATTTGGTTGAAGAGGAAGAAGACCTCAGTTGGCTGGAGGGACGAGACATGAATGGTAGTTTGGTGTGGACACTGTTGTTGGAGGATTTTGTAGCAATGGTGACCGACTTGTTTGTCTTCTTGTCAGTAGGTGGCATGGGACTTGGATGAGCATGGCTGGCTGGTTTGTGAGATAAGGCTGTTGAGGGTGTAGACCTCATATTGCCTGCTTTTGAATAAGCATATTGGCGAGTGAAGGAAGTCGAAGGTGTAGACCTCTTGTTGGCTGAGTGAGAATTAGCATGTTGGAGAGAAGAGGCAGTCGAGGGTGTAGGCCTCTTGTTGCCTGCATTGGGATTGGCGTAATGGCAAGAATGAGCAGTCGAGGGTGTAGACCTCTTGTTGCCTGTATTGGGATTGGCATAATGGGAAGAATGGGCAGTCGAGGGTGTAGACCTCTTGTTGCCTGTATTGGCATTGGCATAATGGTGAGAAGTGGCAGTCGAGGGTGTAGACCTCATGTTGCCTGCATTGGGATTTGCATAATGGCGAGAAGTGGCAGTCGAGGGTGTAAACCTCATGTTGCCTGTATTGGGATTGGCATAATGGTGAGAAGTGGCAGTCGAGGGAGTAGGCCTCGTGTTGCCTTGGTGATGAGGGAATGACACTTTGGGGCTGCTTGATGGTGACATCAAATGTGAAGTTGGAGTGGGTAAGAGTGGAGATGAAGCAGTGGCAGCTACTTGTGCATATGTGCGGGTTGATGAGATGGGTTCTGTTGAAATGGGTGGGGAGGGTATATCATCAGTGTTAGGTTGATGTACTTGCTCTGCATGAGGAATGTGAGATAAGGCATCTGCATTTGTGTTGGCTTTGCCTGGCCTGTGTATGATCTCAAAATCATACTCTTGCAGCATGAGGGACCATCTACTAAGGCGACCAGAGTCATGTTTGGTTTTCTTAAGTCAAGTCAGAGCTTTGTGGTCTGTGTAAACAGAAAATGATCCATTTGCAAGGTACACCCTGAAGTTTTTAATACCTTCTAGGACGGCCAGGCATTCTAGATGTGTGATACCCCAATTCTTTTCAGCAGTATGGAGAGAGCGGCCACCATAACATATTACATGTTCTCTACTTTGAGGATCAAGTTGGCCTAAGATGTACCCTATTGCAGTTTGTGATGCATCAGTTGTGAGGATGAAGGGTTGGTTTTGGTCAGGGTATGCGAGGATAGGTGCAGTTGTAAGGGCATGTTTTAGCTTTTCAAATGCCTGTTGACAATTGTATGACCATTCGAAAGATGCATCTTTTTTAAGAAGATTGTAAAGAGGGGAGGCAATGCCCGAAAAGTTTGCTACAAATTTCCTATAATATGATGCCAAACCTAGGAAATGACGCACGTCATGGACATTTTTAGGAGGTGGAATCTGTGTGACTGAATCTATTTTGGAAGGATCAACATGGATGCCATCTTTGCTGAAGATATGCCCTAATTAGGTAACTTGTTTTGTCGCGAATTTACATTTGCTGGGTTTTAGAGTGAGGCCTGCTTCACTGATCTTTTGGAATACTGCCTTGAGGTGATTCAGATGTTCAGAAAAGGTTTTAGAAAATATTATTATGTCATCGACATATATCAATATGTAACGCCAATTCATCTCTTTTAGTGCCTCTGAAATGGTTTGCTGAAATGCCATAGGAGCATTTTTGAGGCCGAAAGGAAGGCGATTCCATTCAAAAACACCATCAGGCGTAATGAAGGCGGACTTGTGTTTTGTATCTGGGTGGAGTGGTATTTGCCAAAAGCCACTAGCACAATCAAGCACACTAAAGATTTTGGCATGGCTGTCACCTACGGCATCAACGACATCTTCAAAACGTGGCAGAGGAAAAAATATAGGCTAAGTAAATGCATTGAGGCGTCTATAATCTACGGCAAAGCGGTAAGAGCTGTCACGTTTCTTAACCATGACAACAGGTGAGTGCCACTCAGAAGAACTAGGTTGAATGATATTGGCATCTAACATTTCTTTTACCTGTCTTGAACATTCTTTTCTAATGGCTGCGTTTTGCCTGTAAAAAGGGAGTCTAATCGGTCTGGCATCACCTGTTTCTATTCTGTGTTGATGTAAGTGGGTGTGTCCTAATTCTGACCAATCTGAGGCAAAAACTGACCTTTGTGATTGGAGAAATGCACGTAAATGTGTTTGTTGTTCATGTGTGAGGTCTGCATCACTAAGATCAAAGTCAATGTCCTGTGAATGTGTTGTGTTAGCACTTGTAGTAGTAGGAGGATCAGAATCAGAAGTGTCAGGAAGGTCAAGGACAGATGTGGGGTCAATCTCTGAGGCTACAGTAACCACTGTTTTTGAATATAAAGTGACATGGCTGTCACTCGCATTAAGCAATCTCATGCAAGCTGATTTTGGATTGTTGGTTATAAGGCACTTAGCACCTTGGAGCTGCATGTCATTTAATGCCGGAACTGGTTCAAGAAGAAAAACTTGACCTTGTTGACAATGAGAAACTTTGATGGGAATGTCAGCTTGAGAGTGTGGAGGAATAATTACAGCCTTGCATGGTCTTGCGTAGCCTCCATTGATTGATGCCAGAGAGACTGAAACAAGACCTTCGTGTATGTGAAGACATTTTGAGGGCAGGTCTATAGTGACTTTGTTTAATTCAAGGAAGTCAATGCCTAATTTGAGAGAGTGATGTAAGTTGTGAAAGACATGAAAGATTTGGGGGAGGTAGATATGCCCTATGTTAATGTCAAGAGAGACAGAACCTAGCACAGAATGTTTTTCACCACCTACACCTATGATTTCAGTTAGGTGAGATGGGCGTAAATGAGAGGGTTTGATGCCAACTTTATTTAAGTAGCCCATGCTGACACAGCTAACTGATGCACCTGTGTCAACAAGAGCTGTAGTTCTCACTTGTTTAACCTTGACATGAACAGTGTTCTTTGTCAAGGGAGCAACAAGTGATACAAAGGCTGACTCTTGCCTGACCCCAGAACGCTGAGTATCAGGTATGAGTCCCTGTGGCTGTTGATATTGTGCATAGTATGCGCGCATGCATACCTTTGCATGGTGACCTATGCGTGAGCAATAATTACAGACTGTATTTCTATGAGGGCAATTGTGAGGGAACCGAAAACACTCACCACATCCGCGACATCTGCCTCGAAGGTGCTGTGGAATTGGCAGACTTTGACTGTTGCTGGAGCTGTACGGGTAGAAGGATGGCGTCTGTTGTTGTTGCTGTGCTGTGTGGTGGGGCTGAGATGGTGGAACTGGATACTCCTTCTGTGGTGGCTGATAGTGCTGTGGTGGTTGATATTGTTCCTGCCGTATCTGGTATTGATGTTGTAGTGGTTGGTACTGCTGTGGTGGTGGTTGGTATGGTTCCTGTGGTGACTGGTATGGTTCCTGTGGTGGTTGGTATGGTTCTTGTGGTGACTGGTATGGTTCCTGTGGTGACTGGTATGGATCCTGTGGTGGTTGGTATTGTTCCTGTGGTGGTTGGTACTGCTGTGGTGACTGGTATGGATCCTCTTGTGGTTGGTATGGTTCCTGTTGTGAATGCTGGTGGTATCTTGGTGATGGGGAGGGTGGCTGTTGCTGGACCTGGGGCTCGTGCTGCTGATGGTGGGATGAGGGAGTTGCTGATTGTACAGCACAGACCTTGTTTGTAGTGATCAGCATGGTCACCAAGTTCGTTAATTGCTCAACTTGTTGGACCAAGCTGACCTCTTCCTTGCTTGGGGCCTGCGATTGTACAGCCAGTTGGGCATGGTGACGAACCTCATCCAGGGTCAATGGCTCCTTCATATACACCCACTGCTTAATCTGTGGGAGTAGCCCATTGATTGCAATGGCTACTATCACAGATTGTGGTAAGCAGGAGTGTAACGTGGATGCTTGGACCCTGGTGATGAAGTCTCCAACGTCCTCCTGTTCCTTCTGTGTCATATCAAGAAGACTCAAATTGAAGGCTGATGAACTGCGAAATCGTTGCTGAAAGGCCGCTTTCAGCAAGTGGATGTCAAGCTGTGTGTGCGCAGGCAGGTCCCTGAACCATACTTTAGCAGCTCCGTCCAGGTAGAAGGGTAGAATTCTACAGGATTGGGTGTCTGTGTGACCATGGAGGAAGTTGAAGTTGTAGAAATCTGCCCACCAACTTTCAGCATCCTGCTGACCTGTGTATGTGGGGAGATGTATCTGTGCCATTACTGGGGGTTGTTGCTGGGTAAGATGAGACTGACTGTGTTGTTGCTTCTGTAGGGGACGATGGTGTCAGCAGGCATAGTGTGGTGTCAAGCCGTGGAGGTGGTGGTGATAGTGTGGAGTCAGGTACAGGTAACGTCACAGTCTCAACTTGTAGTTCACAAGGCTGGCTCCAGGCACCGAGGATCGAACGTCTCCACCAATTAAGACAGCCTTTTTGGGGTGATCCCAATAACTGTCAGGCCTCGGTTTGGGGAATTAGCTATTGGGAGCTAGCCTTGAAACAAGAGAGAAGAGAGCTGTGAGGTCCTTAGGGTTTATTCAAGCAAGTGTCTATATCATTCAAGTTACATCAATTAATATATAATAGTGACATACAATGATAATAATGATAATGATATGCTAACACAGTGTCCATCTCATAAAGGCATAATAATAAAAGCAATGGAATTAATATTGGAGTATGTACGGTAACATTATACAACAGATGCGGTATTTACTAGTATAAAAACGGTAATGCCAAATAACATTTCTTAAAAGCTAAATTGAGAAGTCGTAACATTTTAATAGAACATGTACGGTAGACTGCACCAACTGCTTAGATGAGGAACATGACATTTACTTATGAAAAGACGGTAAACATTAATATTTGTAGTTTCAGTAATAATTATCACAACATAATAATTTCGGCTAATACGGAAGGTAAATACTTGATCTAAATAAAGATACGAATGTACGCGGTAGAAGACATAGCTCGGTTTTAGTTAGTGTAATTATTAGTTTTAGTGGTGATTACTTTGGTGACTACGGTAATGAATCACGGCGGCTATGTTGCTATTGACTACGCACATTTCCTGTATATATACGGAGCTAGCTAATGGAGTGAATACGGCAATTGTATACCTAAACGATGCGCGTTTAAATGTACCTTGTTATGAAGTATAAAAGATGACTATAACACTATTTAAATGACTACGGTAATAAAATTGTAGTATAGGTTGTGTTGTAGCGTATGCAACTATATGAGGAAAGGGACTCTTTACAATATATTCAAATACTTACTTAATGAGGATAAAACCTAAGAAATATGGAATGCGTTGTTATAGCCTATTCTGTAAGCGCACACGGAAGGTAAAGCTGCTCATATAACCTTTGATCGGTGGACTGTCGGAAAATATGGACTAACCGACCTACGTATAGAATAAATCTTGCTTGAAACAGTTGTGTTAACTCTAGGAACCGTTTTGTGACTAAGCTACATGTACGCTACGCTACTGCACTGTATATGCATCTGGCATTTTGAACAGATGATGTTAGACATAGAAGGGGAATATAATCATGGATGTCGAAATATAGGAGAGAACTATTGGTGCCGCATATTAATGACACATAAACTGGAGGAGCCCACGACGCATTACACTTCAAATAACACTGGGAAGTTACTGTGTATTAAACAGTAAATACTATATATAATGAGCAGTCATTTAGAACTTGTACACAGTAGATTGAGAGTTACAATATGGCAGTACTGATTCAACTTAACTATAACATTTTCTAGACAATAATAACAATGAAATAAGAAGTTTAGTCATAAAATAGGAATATTTAAATGTTTCTTACCTTGAAACAAGAGAGAAGAGAGCCGTGAGGTCCTTAGGGTTTATTCAAGCAAGTGTGCTGAGGACCAACACCCAAGGAGTTATATACCCCCACAGCTCTACTCGTATCACATTAACAATTACTTTGAAGTTGTAATTTCGGTCTCTGTTATCTGCCCTGGGCTGTCAAAGTTGACTACACAAAAGCTGGTGGTAATAGAATGGTATCAGTATTGCCTAAGAAGAGTTTTTTTTAATTACAGTTTAAGATAGTGGTCAAAACCTGCGCCAGCTGGTAACAAAACATTTATCAAGAGAACAAGGGCCGGGGCGGACGTACGCGCCGACTTTATCTATGATTACGTAATTTACTGTTCGCGTGAATGAGCTTGCCAAGGAGTCATGGTCGACCAGTGGCGATAAAAACGAGAAATACTGGTCTAGCGACTTTCGAATTTTAGAATTTCCCAGTTTAAGTTTAATTTGTTAAAAATATAAAAAGTGTAATGAAATATATGCACTGTAACAGATGCATTGTCAATTTGTTTGCAAAGTATTGCTCACTGTGTCCATCTTCATCGAAAACTGATAGCTTTTACTTACGACCATTGGATAAGCCATTTAGAGAGGATCTGTGGTATTGTGATCAACCTTTGGGGAGACATAAGCTTGCGTGTGTTGTTTCAAGACTATGCAAAACAGCAAGTCTTACTGGATACCGTACGAATCCCTCACTGCGCGCCTCAGCAGCAAGCCGACTTTATGAGGCTGGAGTAGACGAACAATTAATATGTGAAGTGACTGGTCATAGATCCACGGCTCTGCGTAACTACAACCGTACAACAGAATCTCAGAAGAAGGCTGTGAGCAGTGTCATTCAGGGTTCGACTGAGACGGCTACCAGCGGCGTTCGCAGTGGTGTAGTCGCTCTTGACAACGAGAAATTGAACATTACCATAAATGTGAATGTGCATTAAAATGAAATCAGGAGTATATGTGCTTAATTTAAAAAAAACCCATTTTGGTCATTAAAGGTTGTTATTTTCCTAATCGTTTGTTCAGCTGCTTTGTCGTTTGAAAGATTTTTTTATTCGAATCCCATTCTAATACTCCCAAGAGTAGTAGAATCGAGATACTGATGGCCTCAGCAACTCTCCATTCCTTAAAAATAATGGAGTGCTTAAACAATAGAGTGACGTCACAAATGTAATTTAAGCAGTGCTGAAACCGTTTACCTTTTAAGGATCACGAAGTAGGATGGTATCATGTAGAAGGGCAGCCTCCTCTTCAGGGCGGCTCTCACCTCCTTCTTGTTGGTCTGCCCTTCTGGCACAAGATAAGAAACGAGGAACTTGTCCTCCCCTTCTTCCCCAATCACCAAGACGACACACGCGTTCACCATCGGGAGTGACATCAGGGCGGACTCCACCGCCTACAGCAAAAATGAATCACACATTATGTTTGAAACAAGCATGTAAAATATATGGCAATGACTTATAATTAAAGGGTTACCATGAACTGAACATGATCCATCTGAAAAGCGAGACCCGTGTCAGAGTTTCTTCAAAGAACATTTCTGGTGTTCCACCGCAGTGATAATGCGGGAATAGAGCTAAAAGGGGTGTAAAACCATACTCACTCACTCATAATATTTTGGTGCACGAGTGACCCAATCGTCTTGTCTCCGAGGTCGCAATTTATTGTAAAGAGTTGCGTCTCTTAGGCGTGCGAGAAACCTATGATCGTAGGTTCGAATACAAGATTCGCGCTGATTATGTTTCTAGGTTTGTCAGCCGATTTCACCAACAGATTTCATGCCGATTCCATGACTATGCTTGTCGTAAGAGGCGACTAACGGGATCGGGTGGTCAGGCTCGCTGACTTGGTTGATGCATGTCATCGATCTTAATTGCGTGGATCCATGCTCATGATATTAATGACTGGATTGACTGGTCCAGACTCGATTATTTTTAAACCGCCGTCATATAGTTGCGGCGTTAAACAACAAACCAACCAACTAAAATGGTAAACGTTCAAGGCTTTCAAAACTTGGAGCCTTCCTCCCACATCAAGCTGACATGCTGGGATATAAGTGAAATAAGGAACCAGTATCTTACCTGTACTTCAATGGAGTACCCTCTGATCTTCACCATAGAGTCACACCTGCCGCATATTTCCAGGCTGCTGTCGGAGAGGACGTAGCCCCAGTCCCCAGTCCTGTAGAGGACGTCCCCGTACGACGCTGGCACCGTGTCTGGCCGCTGGATGAAGCGCATCTCCTGGATGTCGGGCCGCTTCAGGTATCCACGAGCCAGTGTAGGACCACTGACGAATATCTGGAGAACAATGAAAGGGTTAGGTCTTTGAAAGGCATTTAGAAGTGATTCACATAAGGAAGAGAATATATGGATGTCAACTTCTTTATTATGAGGAACACAACGTTTCGGAGTATATGCTTACTCCTACATCAGCCAGCCCCAGAACCACCAACAAGACTGTAGTCAATTTGAGCAGCAAGACCCTCACACCCGCACAGACCTCCCTCCTCGCCAAAGGCCTAAAGTATGTCCCAGTCAGTTTAAGGAAGAGAATATATGGATGTCAACTTGAATGATGTAGGAGAAAGCATATACTCCGAAACGTTGTGTTCCTCATAATAAAAAAGTTGACATCCATATAATCTCTTCCTAATCAAAGGGTTGTTCATATTCGTATCTCGATAACGCGCAAGGATAGCTTCAAGCGGCTGGCGAATATCTAAATTGAAAACGCCAGTGCCTTAAATGTATTCACATCTTTGCCACAAGAGAAGGGTTGATTGAATGTGATTTTGCGCCGCTGAGCAATATTCAAGAAATATAACAGAAATATAACGACAGGGTAGCACAAATGAGGAAGCAATTCAAGCAGCTGGCGAATATCTGAAAAAGGAAGGAAGAAAGGAAGAGCACAAACCACAGACGAATGTTTGATACGTGTATTCGTAATCGTATTCGTATAGGATATACATGGATATATACATTCGTGAAGGATGGGAACATGCAGCGTCAAAGGAAAATATGCGACAAACAGTTTCCAAATATATGAGTAACGGTATTATAACATGTTTCCGTAAAATGACGTCATGCTTAACAATTGTAACAAACCGAATATCATTTCTCTTAGAATTCATACCTCATCAAGTTTGGACATTGAACAGGATCCTCAAAAGCACCCTGTGCCCTAAAAGATGGCTATCGTGACTACAAGGGTGTTTATGGTACATTCAACAGGACCTTCTTGGGTTACTGATTTAACGAGCGCTTCCGGTGGATCCGGTTTCGCACTCGAGAAACAATTATGGCAGCAGTGGGAATCCATATTTTGTACCATATATTCCCGTGTTTTTTTAAGGTGAAAATGGACTTGCCTTTGCATGTGTTTGTGACGGGTGCCACAGATGGGGCAGGATACGTTGCTCTTTTCATGAACATCTGTTACCATCACTATTTTATAGATATTTATAAACAAATGCTTATGATATAGTCGGAATCCTACAATGAAGACGGATCTCCCGAACCTTGCTAAGCTTAGGCTGTAATCCTACTTCAGTTAAAATGATCAATACTAACAGTATTGGTTATTGGCTTGACTGTTCCGCAGTAGTGATAATGTTAAAATGCTTTCATACATTCCCTCCAGGTTCACTTACCTCCCCTGGCATTCCGACAGGCTGAACTTGTTGGTCCTCGTTCAAGATGGCGACATGAACGCCTGGTAACAACTTCCCGACGGGACAAAACTTTCTCGACATCATTGATTCCTAAAAAAAGAACTTACAACATTGAACTGTGTGTAATCCAGGTGTCCAAAAAAGAAAACCAGTAACAGCTTGAACTCATCGAGGTACATGGTTCCGCCACGTTATTGCTGGGCTTGTACAAAAAGCAGGATAGGGTGGTCAGGCTCGCTGACTTGGTTGATGCATGCCATCGTATTCCAATTGCGTGGAGCAATGCTCATGATTTCAATCACTGGATTGTCTGGTCCAGACTCGATTACAACAGACCGCCGTCATATAGCTGGAATATTGCTGACTGCAGTGTTAAACAACAAATAACAAGAACAACATCCAAAAGCAGAATAAACCCCTACCCTATCAAAGTCAGTCCTTAACGAATCAGAAAACGAAAATAGCAACAGTTTGACACAACAAAACATCACCATTTTACCTACACGTAAGTAAACGTCACTTCACATTTATCCCTGTTTGATGCAACAACCACTGATATGATAACATAGCACCCGCTTTTCTTCACAAACCTTTTGGAACAATATTCCAGCTTAAAGCCTTGGAACCGTTCATCATTTAGTTACGTAACCAAGGTAACATTGGCTACGCCCTATACAAAATATATTATTACTTTATTATTGGTGTAGTAAGCTGTGAGATCTTCGCAAGCGACGTCATGACATTCCGAAATGCTGTACAGGTTGACAAAGCGTATCCATGGCAACGTCTTGACGCACCTTCGCAGCAATGCTGTTGTCACCACCTCACCACAGAACCATATTTGTCTGGGTCAAAGAACATGTCTGTTAATGAACCTGTATTCCCAGACAAATCGATGCGTCATGCAAAAGCAAGCTAATTAAATATACCACAGCAGGGAACATCAATTTCATGCTTTAAATTAACAATGTTATTGAATAAAAAATGGTTGTTCGATATTGTAAATGAGATTTTCGGGTCATTAAACATATGTTTTACAAAGGTGATGGTAAATACATTGTATCTGTATGTTTGAAGTTTCGACATTCAATACATTAAAATATCCGTATCCTTTTCCTGCTGAAATACAATTCCCTGTTTTGCAATCAACACAGTCTTTGGTAATGATTATTGTTTGTTTGTTTGTTTGTTTGTTGTTTACGGCGCACTCAGCAATATTCCAGCTACATGACGGCGGTCTGTAAATAATCAAGTCTGGACCAGATAATCCAGGGATTGACGTCATGAGCACCCGGCTAGGCAATTGAAATACGATGACATGCATCAACCAAGTCTTTGAGCCTGACCACTTGATCCCTATAGTCGCCCGATGCGTGCCGTAAGAGGCGACTAACGGAATTATCTCCGTGTCCCAATTGCGTGGATCGATGTTCATGATGTCAATCACTGGATTGTCTGGACCAGACTCGATTATGTACAGACCGCCGTCGTATAGCTGGAATAGTTCTAAGTGCGGCGTTAAGCAACAAACAAACAGACAAACTATAGTCGCCTCTTACGACAAGCGTAGTCGCCTCGTACCACAAGCATCGTCGCCTCTTACGACAAGCATAGTCCCCTCTAACGAGAAGCATGGGTTGCTGAAGACCAATTCTAACCCGTATCTTTACGGGTCCTTCGGTAATGAGGTCCAATGAAATGGAATTAACGCATGATAATACACATGTGTTTGAGTATCAACATCATATTAACATATATATCATGTAGAGAGGTGTTATATAGGCCATGCATCTCATTACCTGGGGAATAGTCTTAATGTTGAGTCCTCGCTGTCCCAGTCCAGTCTCAGCAGCGAGTAGACACGATGCGCAATAGCTAGTGTACATCCTGTCTGTCTCAAAGGTCTTCCCGTGATATTGGAAGGGCAGTTCCACTATACATATTACTCAGCCTGATAGGGACATGGTAAATGAATTGTTCAACTGTAACCTTTGCCTTATAATCAGTATGTATATGTTATGGCAATGGCCGTTTGATCAACCCGTCCAAACCAGTATGTCAACAGGCTTATTACGTCAATAGGTCATCTGTATTGGGGTTATGCAAGGGGTTATGATTATCTGCGTCCTTTACACATTTAAAGAGGATTGGCCGAGTCCATTCTATTCAAGTGCCACGTGACCATTTCCAGAACCCGGATGGACGTACCCTATCGCCATACGCTTATCATAACCGTTTCATAACTATATTTGTTTGTTGTTTAACGCCGCACTCAGCAGTGTTCCAGCTATATGACGGCGGTCTGTACATAATCGAGTCTGGACCGGACAATCCAGAGATTGATATCATGAGCATCGATCCACGCAATTGGGATACGATAACATGCATCAACCATATCAGCGAGCCTGACCACCCGATCCCGTTCGTCGCCTCTTTCGACAAGCATACTTGCTTTTTACGGCAAGCACGGGTTGCTGATGAACTATTCTAACCCGGAACTTCACGGGTCTATAAACAACGTATAAAATATAATGGCATAAGACGCCTTACATATGACATGCCATTATATCTTCTCCGCTTTTCCGCCACAGTAAACCACACGCCGTGATATAACTGGCATAATGTTTAAAGCGAAGTTAAACCCAACTCACTCACTCACTCACTCACTCATTTCTTCTTCAACGATCTATGCTCTTTAGTGAAACTACCGTATTCGACGTAATAAGCGCCCTGGGCGCTCTCAAAATTAGAAATAGGGGGCTCTTATTAGAATATTATTTTGGTGGAAAAAAAGAGAGTTGAAAGATAAATTTCGTGGTTTATGCTGACAGCCTGAAATGTTTATGTACGACAGATATATTTTTCCAGAATTTAATTCCCCATAATTAACGGTGCATATAACACACGAGTGCGTATTTTACGCGAATAAATAAGTCTTGTGTACATTGATCAATCGGAAGGGGTGCTAATTGGGATTGTTCACTAGCCAATATATTAGCAAATATCGCCGTGGGCACTTGTTAGAGCGGGGCGCTTATTATGTCGAATACGGTACTTTGGGACTTTACCCAGAGGAACTGTTGGTCGTCAGTGGTCAAGTGAATTCAAGCAGTCTTTAAGATTCCCCAAATGCACATCTCTACAAAAACAGTGGCGTTGTCGCGCTTTGGTTAATTTGTCAGATTTTATTTCTTTTTATACTGGCGACAATGACCCTTCTATGATTCCATAAATACCTGTAAATAGTCGCGTTAGAATAATTTAAAGCTGCCTTAAGAAATGTCATGAATCTGATCGTGTGAAAGTTGATGTCAAGGCAATGGAAACCTTGAGAACGTCAACGATCGAGTCACGCAATGGTACGCACCTGAGCGTCTTCAGCGACTGTTTGAAATCTATGTCTGCAGTGTTGAGAATTGTCTCCAGCAAGGATGGCGTGAAGAGGATGCGAGTGATGACGTTGTTGCTGATGCTTTGACACAGTAGGTGAGGGTCGTAGATGACGGAGTTGGGAACAATACACATTGGTACACCTAGAGCAGAATATGGTAATGAAATAGTGAGTTTTACCCCGCTTTGAACTGTATTTCAGTTACAATCACAGTGTGTCAGCTTGATGTGGGAGGAGGTGACGGCAGGTCTTAGGCATTTACCAGTTTCGTTGAATCCGCGAGCATGGATATAGTGCTAACAAACTTAGACATATTATCCGGCCGAATCTGGGATTCGAACAACTACGATAGACTTCTGATACACCTCAGAAACGCAACTCTGAAAAGCGAATTACAACATCTTGGATAACTGGAAAACGAACCCACAGTATTTTGAGACGAAACATATATCTCACGTCATTATGAACATCTACACGGTGAGGAACTAGCAAAGGAAATGTGTCACGTTTACAATATGCTTATATCAATATCAATAATGAGTGAGTGAGTGAGTTAGGTTTAACGCCGCTTTTAACAGTATTCCAGTTATATCGCGGCGTGTCAGCTTAATGTGGGAGGAAAGCCCGAAGTGATGCAGGTCTCGGACGTTTACCACTTCGGTGAAACCCACGAGCACGGGTATGGTGCTGACAAACCTAGAAACATAATCGTGGCGAACCGGGATTCGAACCCACAATCATAGGTTTCTGGCGTGTCCAAGGGACGCAACTCTGAACAGCGAATCGCGGCGCCTTAGACAACTGGGCCACCCGTGTCCCCCAATATCAATAATAAATACTACCATATACTACCTATAAATCCAACAATGTTTTGATGAAGATATTCTTCTATTATTTTAAAAAAGGAAATTTTATTTTAAAATCAGGTAAATTCATATAAAACTATATCTTTGAATTAGGTCAAAGTATCCAATTAATATGCCGCAAGAAACCAAATGGACATATCTGTGAACCGCAAGGTCCCTTATTTTTCCGAGCGTATGAATATATCCCCATACATGTACTAAACCAGACGTCTAAACTTCAGTTTCTGGATTTAGCAAAATAAAGAATTGATGCATACCTTTTAGGATGGGCCGGAGCATCTCCCATACAAAGAATATGTTGCTGCCCTCTCTTTCCCCTTCCCCATATGGGTAACTGATGTGACGCCAGTGGTAGGAAAATACGGCACCCCGGTGGGGACACATTATACCTTCAAGAAAGACCAATATACAGTTATACACACACCTTAATACATATAACATTCTGTGTCACAAGATAAATTACCATATATCGGTATTCTATTTAATATAATAATAATGATGTCATAATCAAAGCTTCCATAATTAAATAGTTTCAGAACAACGGATAATTGCCCTGACTAAAGAAGGCACGGGAACTAAACATGCATGTGCGACAGTTCTAGGTTTGCTATAGTTTACTGATGTCAAACAGTCACAATATTTTATCGGAAAGCCAGTTTATTTACTTACTTAGCGGTTGTAAAACTAAAAGATAAAAAAAAAAAATCAACACCTAACGTGCATGCATGGACAATTAATATTTATTGATCTTTCCTTCATGCGACCTATTGTTTTGCTTGTTTGTTGGTTGTCGTTGCCCATTGGCTCACGTCCCAGCGACACTCTGGCTCAAATATTGCTTAATCGGCGCCACGACCTAACTCTTGACCAAGCATGAACCGCACACTGTATTGAAAACAAAGGTTCTGAATAAAAAGACACCATTGCCATCGAGTTCTATTTGGTAGAGTTTGTTCACCTTTAGGTCTGCCCGTTGTGCCAGATGAGTAAACTATATAGGCCAGGTTGTCAAGCGTCACCCCATGGGGCATTTGGTCGCCTTTCTGTTGGTCGATCTGCTGCTGTAGGCGATCTTGCCAGCCATCCGCCAATTCAATCACCTTGTGAGAATCTGGAAATGTTCACATTTTTGGTTAATTTTTAGGTATTTGTTTACAAATTACACACACACGCACAAGCACATGCACGCATACGCACGCAAGCACACACACACATTATATATTAATATCAAAATCTAATCAAACAAATTGTAAATATATTTTGTAAACAAGAAATACTTTTCCCCTAAAATACACTCATCCACTCAAACAAATGTCATTTTAATGATTAGTACATGAACTATGATTTGCCAATGGCGCATCCTTCACTCACACTGTATCGGTCCATTAAGTCTGATTCTGGCAGTAAAAATGTGTCTGTCAATCAGTAGTTCAACCACACATTGATCTCATTATATGTTGGATAAAAAATATATTGATTGACCTATTTTTTCGACGTTATCAGTTATTGTGTTAGATACATTTCATTCGAGCAGCCGGGATGCCAGGAACACAGTTTGGACATCCTGCTTCGGTGACATCATGCGAAACAAAAAATAATATGAATATATCTCCAAGTTATACGGACGCCGAACGCCACCCCTTTAGAGTGCAATTCTCGAAGGCCATTTTTGGTGTCCCTCAAAGTGGCATTATCCAGGGTATTATACTGCCATTTGTCAGGATATATACCCTGATAGCCTTCAGGAGCGAGAGCAATATTCCAGCTTTATGACGCCGGATTCGAACATTATGGAAAGATGGTGGCGTCACGAAGCAATGGTGACGATATGGTCCAGGGTATTTATTATAATAGACTCTGGATAATCGAGGATGGAGAGATCGTTCTATCTATGGGAAATAAACATGCATCTTCGGGTGTTATCAAGTATTTGATCCATCCATATATATCAATATTAAATATCATTTTCCTCAGTTACAAAGATATTAACCGATCTAGTTTTGAAATACATATTGTTCACAGAAATAACATTTTGAATACATTAGACAGAAAATGGAAGATTTGGCCTCACATTCATCAAATCCAAATTAAGATTGTTATCGTAACATAATATTTTAGTGCCCATCTCTTTAATTATCAATATTTCTTGTACATAAGTAAGTTTCACAAATTGAAATAAAAATATTGAATTACGTTACAAAATTAAGTATTTTATCTTCGTCGAATTTTGTAGGAAAAACCTTAAGACAAAATGCTAACAGAACTTTCTATCATCAAATTTTATAAACTATACCAACTAAACAGTTTCATACATGGTATCAGTGGCAACGTCTAGATCTGTGCTAATAATGGACATCAGACCGTGATCCCGCTTTAATAAATGAACCGACCCGTGACATTCTTGGACAGATCCTTTGAAGTAAGAACTGCAACCGGCTGTGCATCTTTCAAGATGGACTCCAGCAGTGGGGTAGGATAGGATGTGTCGATCGGCAGATACGCTCCACCTGAAAATAAATGTTAGTTCTTTGGAGTAATCGGGTGTAGATTTGACGAATGTTTCTAGTGAATGCAGATTTTGAACACTATCAATTAACAAGGCGTAACCCGTCTAGTGTATATACTCTTAAATATAATAGGGGCGGTCGGGTAGCCTAGTGGTTAAAGCTCGTCACGCCGAAGACCCGGGTTCGATTCCCGACATGGGTACAATGTGTGAAGCCCATTTATGGTGTCCCCCGCCGTGATATTGCTGGAATATTGCTAAACGCGGCGTAAAACCATACTCACTCACTCACTCACTTAAATATAATAGCCTGGACTCGGATTGTGTTGCATTAATGCGCTGATTATGTTGCTAATTTCGTATACTTGTCTGCAGCTTTTTTAAATGTGTTAATGATTACAATAAGCAGCTTGTGAAGATTTTATTGCTGACGTATGTATTTATAAGATTTGACATCAATATGTTTTTGCCCGAAGTCAGATCTGAAATATTCCCTTCGTATATAGATATATTTAACTAGCAGTATTCGCACAGAGCGGACGAAAGCGCCATACTGTTTTTATTACAGTCCTATGTTTCTGATATGTACTCTGTTTGTGAAAAAATCAGAAAATGGAATGTTCCCAAATGAACATCCTCGTAATGAGTGAGTGAGTGAGTGAGTGAGTATGGATTTACGCATCACTTGCGACTACCACGTGAAGGCGACACACCCGGATATAACATAATACTATTGAAAACAGCGTCAAACTTGGGTTGGTTTGAATAACTCGACTTGATTTTATTAAATTGCAACCCTTTCGTGACCGGATCAGAGGTGTTCCCCAGCAACCCATGCAAGTCGTAAGACCTCAGCCTCGTTGACTTTGCTTATTGCGTGTCATCGTACCCCCGGCAGGGCCCATTGCTCATATCAACAGCCTGTTTATCTTACCAAGATTCGAGTACATGTATTTACATGTGGGTTGTTGTGACATAGCTTTAATGTTGCTGACTCATATGTAACGAACAAATATAATACTCAAAAGAAGTTAAAGACCATCTTTCATATTACTATAGTTAATCTATCATGCTCCTTAACTTCTTTTGAATAGTATATACTAATTGGTGTAATGAAACCAAGACAAGTTCCCTTCCAAGTTCAAGATTTTAATATTGCCGCGAGCTAGAAAATGGCTACAATAGGAACTTTCTATATAGCCTTTCCATCCAAACAGAAACCTAAAATAAAAAAGCTCCCTAAAAATAAAAATAAATCTGTTTTCTCATACTACACCCTTCAAAAAAGAAAAGAAAAAAGAAACGTATAGGAGATTATGAGAATGTTGATTTTGTTTATTCGTGAAACATTCAATACAATAGAATGTATTTACTAAAGGATGTTAGTCACATGTTCGTTAACTCGTGTAGTGTACAAACCAACCGTTTTAAACTTTTGTAGCTTTATACAGCAGTTTTTATAAGACTGCACGATGCAAATGTCATGGCAAGGATATTAAAAGCAGAATGCTCGTGCAAGTTGTGACAATCATGTGCAGTGACAGTGACTATAAAAGGTCAAACGTCAGTCAACACTTTGCCGAGTCTGCATGAATGCTGCCAATCGCAACATCGCAACGGGACATCTTGAGTGAGTGAGTGAGTATGGTTTTACGCCGCATTTAGCAATATTCCAGCAATATCACGGCGGGGGACACCAGAAATGGGCTTCACACATTGTACCCATGTCGGGAATCGAACCCGGGTCTTCGGCGTGACGAGCGAACGCTTTAACCACTGGGCTACCCGACCGCCCCAGGACGTCTTGAAGCTGGGGAGTGCCAGTCTGCAGTTGCACGTCATTTCAACGTTCACCAGGACACCACATATCGTTTATTGGATCGGTATACCCGCCTCAATTCAACCCCAGATCGTCCGAGAATAGGTAGACATAGTCACCACCCCTTCACCACATCGCTACATCCGGGATCTCACCTGCGTCATCGATATGCTACTGCCACGAAAACCACAGGACACGTGCTTAGTTTGAGCTGGGTATTGGACCAATCAGGAATCGTCTGCGGGGATGGGAATTAGACCCAGAAGACCGGTATTTGTCCCTGTATTGAGATGCTGGCATCGACGACAACGTACGAGATGGAGTACAGGAATGGACTCGGAGAAACTGGCGGCGAGTCTGGTTTAGTGATGAATCACAATTTCTTCTCCAACGCCAAGTTGGAAGACGTCGACGTTTTGAACTGCGCTCGAGAGGTCGACAGATTCGGTAGCGGAAGTGTGATGGTGTGGGGGTCGAAATGAACGTTTTGAACTGCGCTCGAGAGGTCGACAGATTCGGTAGCGGAAGTTTGATGGTGTGGGGAGCCATATCCTACACACGATCTGACTTGGCGGTGGTGACAGAAAATTGGTTCATCGACCAAATTCATCAACGTTACCTTCTTCCGGTTATTAACCGACAGAGGGAGTTTTCAACATGACAACGCTACACCACACACAGTTCGTGTCACTGTTGACTTCTTTCATAATTCAAACGTCAATGTCTTGTAATGGCCCTCAGGAACTCCGGATCTGTGTGATGAACCCGATAGACGTTAACGTCAACGTCAACGTCAACATACGCCACCGACACTTGCACAACTGGCCAACGCGTTGCAGGAAGACAAGGGATGTAGAGCAGTGATAACAACACACGGGGGTCACACCAGGTGCTGATTGGACCCCCCCACACACACACACACACACACACACACACACCCGGTGGACGTGCGTGTGTTTGAACAACCAGCATTTCCATTATGTCTACAGAACATGTGACTATCAAGTTTCATCCTTGTATCAATCAAATTTAATTAAATATGCACATTTAATTGAACACTACCTATTCGGTTTATATCGCGGTGCATCGACCATTGTGACGTCATACATAACTGGATAGATTGGGGCAGTTTCAGGCAGTTATAACACGTCCCTATCGGAGATAATGAGGTGACCTTTGAGCTAGCAACACAATTTGGTGACAGCTTGGAGATAAAATTCCGCGATTGTTATCGTAATCAAATGTCTTAATTAATCACACTTACATAGTTATGTTTATTTCAGTATTAATGACCAATACTGATAATGGGGGGGGGTCATCACAGAATACTTACAATAATAAATTGTGTTGAAAAGTGCTACTATTTTCTATAAGATAATATATCAAAATTAGTAATGGAAAAAAGGGGTCGTTTTTATTGTTTCCAAATATTTTAATCATAACTTTGATCAACAGTTGAAACGTAAATAGTAAATATGATACAGGTTAAATCTGGAAGCATACGAGTTTTCCCAATCTTTTTTTCCCCATCTTTTCCCATTTTCCCGTTAAGTGACGTTATAAAGTCAGTTATCACCTTTGCCGCGGGACGATGACGAGTTCCTGTGGCCCGTGTCGGCGTCATGTGGGAGGAAAACCCAAACTGATACAGATTGTCGTCATTCAGCCATTAGGTGGTGAAAACCACCAGCACGATATGGCGCTGACAAACCAAGCCATTCAAACCCACGATCCGCGGACCTGGCTACGCTAAGAGGTCACTGGGTCATCCGTGCCTCCATTTAATTATGTACTTCGCAGGTTACAACAACGCCACTTTGCGGCTGTTTATTTGCATGCTGGATCCTATCTGAACAAATTGCGGATGTAAACAAATGTTAACACGTTGACCTTTGTGGCACTTTGGCTTTGGACCTTCATACTTGTCAACACAGTCGTGACTGCTGGCGGAATAGGTCGCCATGACATTCCATCCTCCACTCTCCCTCTTGAGCCCTGTTATCACCACAGTCGTAGCATTACATCAAATGCTCTCAATTGTAACAGATAACAAAAAGTAAAGTACTGTGTATTCTATAGTATGAATTACACAATTTGCCTTCTAATTCATGGGCGAAAATCAGACATCTACGGACATCATGTAATTAATGATGAAAATGTTTGATTCTTAATACTTCCGAAAGTTCTTTTTTAAACTCATGAATGATAAAAGTACTTGTTGTGTTGTAGTGAGTGAGTGACGTGTCCTAGCAACAATCCAGCAATGTCACATCGGGCAACAGAAATGCACTTCACACATACTTATCAATGTGAGGATTCGATCCCTGGTCTTCGACGTGACGAGCGAACGCCTTAACCCCTAACCCAATTTATTAGTTGAATGTTTTATTTTGACATACATAGTTGCTGCATTTCAAAGATTGCTTGGTTGGTTTGTTGTTTAACGCCGCACTCAGCATTATTCCAGCTATATGACGGCGGTCTGTAAATAATCGAGTCTGGACCAGACAATCCAGCGATTAATATCATGAGCATCGATCCACGCAATTGAGATCGATGACATGCATGAACCAAGTCAGTGGTGATTAATATCATGAGCATCGATCCACGCAGTTGAGATCGATGAAATGCATCAATCAAGTCAGTGGTGATTCGTCACAGACTTGTATATACATATGTTTGTTTGATGGCGTTCTGTATATAAACGAGTCTGGACCAGACGATCCAGTGATTGACATCATGAGCAGGGATCTCCGCAGCGAGCCTGTCCACCCGATCCCGTTAGTCGCCTCTAACGCCAAGCATAGTCGCCTTTTACGGCAAGTATGGGTTGCTGAAGATCTATTCTATCCCGGATCTTCACAGGTCGCATTTCCAAGAAGACACTATAAATAGAATACTTACACTTTTCCATTTTCCATACATACGGGAATATTGCCATTAAACATTTCGCAATCTTAGTTTAGCTAAATTCTCCTTTCAGAGTATGGTCACGTGTGCTGTTCCTACATACAGGGGAAATGAAACATTCACACGTGCTAATTCCCGCCATAGAATCGGAGTGTGATCGATTTATGCGTGGACAAGGATAGCACCAGTGAAATAATTGCCACCACCTCCATCGATCCCCGAGTACGCTCAACAGTCTCTTGTTTGAGTAGTGTTGGAACATAATGTATTGA